CACTGCACTCCCGGGCCATGGCAGAGAGCTGGCCTGGAAGAGGGGCAACCGGGACAGAATCCGGTGCCCCAACCGGGACTAGAACCTGGTGTGCCGGGGCCGCTAGGCAGAGGATTAGCCTGTTGAGCCGCGGCGCCGGCCAGTACCTACTGATTTTAACAAAGGAGAAAATCTTAGTCCCTGCTCTGAGATATCCCCCTGGAAAGTGGCTTCTGACACGTTTGTCCGTGTAGACAAGCTCCTTCCCGGTGCTCTTCAGACACAGAGAGCAGTCTGTTCTTTTCTCTGTTTCTTCACTCTGATTTTCCTCATGACTCCTGGGGTTTGACTTCTCCCCTCCCCGCTGTTAAGCTCTTGTCTTGTTAGAGATCTGGGAGACACAGAGCCTCACTAGGACCTTTGCTGCTGCTCCTCTGGCTCTCTCTGGCCCTTCTACCCCGCGTGACTATATTTTGTCCAGTTTGCTGAGCACTTGTCTGGTCGTCACGATTGTCCCATGTGCTGGACACTTCACGCTTCACAGACAAGAACACTGAAAGCCAGAGAGTGTGGCTGGTGAGGAGGCAAGCCGGAACCTGACCTAATCCCTGTCCTGGCTCGTGGTCCCCTCCTCCCACTCACCTGGCCTGCAGTGCTTGTGTGCAATGGCCACCACTCATCTGGGGCCCAGCCAGGCCGTCCCTCTGCTGCTGGGCCAGTCTGCGCAGTCCAGCAGGCCCCTCCATTCCTCAGGGCACTCAACGGTGCTCTCTCTTTGAGCTAATGAGAAACACCCACCTCACCCAGTGGCCAGGTGAGATCCCTCTGTTTCTTCCACTTCCACACCTGGTAGTTGCTACACTCAGTAGCAGAGATGGATGGGACAGATTCTTATCTTTGCACAAGAAAAAATGCAGGGCCAGGCACTGTGGCACAGCAGGTTAAAGCCCTGGCCTGCAATGCCCTCATCCCATATGGGTGCCAGTTCGAGTCCCACCTGCTCCACTTCTGATCCAACTCCTTGCTAATGTGTCTGGGAAAGCAGTAGAAGATGGCCCAAGTCCTTGGGCCCCTGCACCTGCATGGGAAACCTAGAAGAAGCTCCTGGCTCCTGGCTTCTGATCAGCTCAGCTCTTACCATTGCGGCCATGTGGGAGTGAACCTGCAGATGGAAGACCTCTCACTCTCTCCCCCTGTCTGTAACTCTGCATGTCAAATAAATAAATGAAATCTTTTTTAAAAAGGCAGACATGAGAGAGAGAACGCATGCGAGTGAGCAGTGGTAAGCAAGGTACAAGGTTTAGTGGCGTAGGGCATCCGTCAGAACGGATGGGCACCTTTCCAGACAGAATCTGAGAGTGCCCACTCGTTCAGACAGGGAAAGCAAGGTTACATGGTTTGGTGGAGAGAACACACCTGGCAGGCCAGGCGGGCAGCTCAGGAGAGAGCCGAGAGCTGAGCACACAGTCTGCATTCAGACTGGGGCTTATAAGAGAATGGGGGTCCAGTTTTCCCTTCCCTGTCCTCCAGGACAAAGGGTTTGCTGCTGAGTGTGAACTAGGTCAAATTCCTCACAAGGTTTCACTGCTCAGTGCTATCAGATCCACCTGGATGGGGCGGGGCACTTCCCCTAGGGCGCCTGCCTTGGAGCAGAGATGTGAAGGCTTTATTGCCCAGTGTTGTCAGGCCAGGGGACTCCTTTGGTGCTGAGGAGAGAGGATTCTCCCAGCGAGCTATCCTGGGGGAAGGGCTGAGACCACTTATAAAGTTATTGGGGTCTGGGGGCCAGAGCTGTGTAGTGGGTAAAACTGCTAGCATCCCATATGGGTGCTGGTTCAAGTCCCAGCTGCTCTACTTTTTTTTTTTTTTTTTTTTTTTTTTTAAGATTTATTTATTTATTTGAAAGAGTTACACACAGAGAAGGAGAGACAGAGAGGTCTTCCATCTGCTGGTTCACTGTCCGGTTGGCCACAAAGGCTGGAGCTGAGCTGATCTGAAGCCAGGAGTCAGGAGCTTCTTTTGGGTCTCCCATGTGGGCCATTTTCTACTGCTTTCCCAGGCCACATCAGAGAGCTGGATCAGAAGGTAGAGCAGCCAGAATTTGAACCGGTGCCCATATTGGGTGCCGGTGCTGCAGGCGGCTGCTTTACCCTCTATGCCACAGTGCTGGCCACTGCTCCACTTCTGATCCAGCTTTCTGCTCTGGCCTGGGAAAGCAGTAGAAGATAACTCAAGTGCTTGGGCCCCCCACACCCACTTGGGAGACCTAGAAGAAGCTCCTGGCTCCTGGCTTCGGATCAGCGCAGCTCCACCCATTGCTGCTATCTAGGGAGTGAACCAGTAGATTGAAGACACTTCTCTCTCTCTCTCTCTCTCTCTCTCTCTCTCTCTCTCTCTCTGCCTCTCTGTAACTCTGCCTTTCAAATAAATATAAAAAAAAAAAATTTCCAGCACCGCGGCTCACTAGGCTAATCCTCCGCCAGCGACACCAGCACCCCGGATTCTAGTCCCGGTCAGGGCACCGGATTCTGTCCCGGTTGCTTCTCTTCCAGTCTAGCTCTCTGCTGTGGCCCCGGAGTGCAGTGGAGGATGGCCCAAGTGCTTGGGCCCTGCACCCGCGTGGGAGACCAGGAGGAAGCACCTGGCTCCTGGCTTCGGATCTGCGCAACGCGCCGGCCGTAGCAGCCATTTGGGGGGTGAACCAACGGAAGGAAGACCTTTCTCTCTGTCTCTCTTTCACTGTCTAACTCTGTCAAAAAAAAAAAAAAAATAGTCATTGGGGTCTGGCCAGGCTGCTTCCAAGGTGAGCTTCTGCAGACGCTTTGTTTTCCTTCTGTCCCATTCATGCACACAGGCTAATGTCTGACTTCCTGCCCCACACACTCAGCTAATTGTTTGCCTTTAGTGTCTCCCAAACCCAGGCCCTCCTCTAGCTAACCCACAGTGACCACCTGGGCTCAGGCCTAGCTCTGGAGCCTCCTCTGTGCTTGGCACTGTGACCAGAGAGAAGTCGTGGGGTTCTTGTCTTTGCTCAAGAAGGAATTCAGGCGTGAGACAGAGAGTAAAGCAGCAGGGTTTTGCTGGGGACAGGGCATCTGTCAGAACGGAAGGGACAGAGGGAGCGTCCAGTCCCTCCGACTGGGAAAGCGAGGGCACGTGGTTAAATGGAGAGCCTACACCTGGCAGCCCAGGCGGGCGGCTCAGCCGAGAGCAGAGCTGAGCATGTGGTCTTTGCTTAGACTGCTGGTTTTTAAGCAAGTCCCTTTTTCGCCTCCCGCCTCTCCTCCAGGACAAAGGGTTTGCTGTGTAATAAGAAAAATTCCTTCCCAGCTTTACCACCAGTGTTATCAGACAGGTGGAGTCATGCCTGCCCTGGAGGGAGGATGTAGAGTTGTACTGTTCAGTGCTACCAGGCCAGGTAGCTGTTTGGTGCTGAGGAGAGAGCTTTTCCATGGGGGAAGGGTATCAGGGTCTGGGCAGGACTTGGAGGTGTAGATGCTGGGCTGCTTCCAAAGTGGACGTCTGCAGATGCTGGCTCCCTCCGGCCTTCTCACACACACATAGGCTAATTTCTAACTTCCTGCCTAACAGCACCAGCCACATGTTGGCAAGAGAAAGAGGGTACAGTGGCTGCTATGAGCAGAACATGTCCACCTGCCAGGAGCCAGTGTGCTTTATGCACATGGCCCCGGCATCCTCACTGAAGGCGTCTGGGCGGGCATGTGCCGTCACCTCCGTGGTGAGGTGAGCGATGTAAGGAAGAGGCTCAGGTAACTTGCTGGCCTTGGGGACTGGCCTGTTCTGGGGCAGGCAGTCCCACAGGATACTCCCACTGGGCTTGTGCTGGTTGGGCCCTCTGTACCTGTCCTAGCAATCCCAGACGCACCCAGCTGAGCAAGGGATCATCAGGCCTTGCTCCCTGTTACTGTCAAGGGCTGTATCCAGGGCTTGTGGTCATGGTGTGTGTCCTGGGCCCTTGGTCAGATATGCATGTCCAGGACTTCTGTCAGGTGTGCCTGTCCCGTCTGTCATCTTCTCCATGTCTGCCTGGCATTCTAAAGGAGGCATCATGGCGTCCTGAAGGGGTGAATGGGCTCCAGGTGATTTTGTATCCCATGAAAAGTACATTATCCAGGCCAGCGCCGCGGCTCACTAGGCTAATCCTCCGCCTGTGGCGCCAGCACACTGGGTTCTAGTCCCGGTCGGGGTGCCAGATTCTGTCCTGGTTGCCCCTCTTCCAGGCCAGCTCTCTGCTGTGGCCTGGAAGTGCAGTGGAGGATGGCCCGAGTGCTTGGGCCCTGCACCCCATGGGAGACCAGGAAAAGCACCTGGCTCCTGCCTTCGGATCAGCGCGGTGCGCCGGCTGCAGCGCACCGGCCGCAGCAGCCATTAGAGGGTGAACCAATGGCAAAGAAAGACCTTTCTCTCTGTCTCTCTCTCTCTCACTGTCCACTCTGCCTGTCAAAAAAAAAAAAAAGAAAAGTACATTATCCACAAAAGAAGGTATTATTAGTAATAAATGACTCCCATCATGCCTAGAACTGGCACTGCATCGTAAGCTGCTGTCTAGGAACAAACTGGGTCTGTGTTTGCTGCTCTGAGGTGAGGGCATGGAGAGGACAGGACAGCCCCTTCCAGTGCAGAGGGGTCGGGGCCTCGGCCTCACTGAACAGCACGTGCATATCAGACGGGGTGACGGTTCTGATGGGCGAGTGTGGCGGCGGGAGGGAGGAGAAGCTAGAAGCTGAAGAGTGGAAGTGAGGTGGTAAGTGTCAGATGGGGAATGAGGAAACTAAAGGTCTGTTTAAAAAAATCTGAGCTTCTAGTAGCCAAAACCACCAGTGAGTCGCAGAATAACTGTTTTCGTTCTGCTCAGGGCTGTTCACGGCTCGGTTCTTCTCACAGGGGCTGCTGCTTAGAAAATTATTGAGGGAGCTCTGTGAGGGTTACAGAGGTGTGAGCCCACAAAGCTCCGAGAAGAATCCGCTCCTTAAGTAACTGCTAGGACTTTGCCCTCGCAGGTTCCCCAACACAGCCTGTGAGCTCCTGACTTGCGACGTGCCGCAGATTAGTGACAGACTAGGTGAGGATGAGAGTCTGCTGCGCCTTCTGTGTAACTTCCTGGACCGGGAGCCCCCTCTCAACCCTCTGCTCGCCAGTTTTTTCAGCAAGACCATCGGCAATCTCATCGTAAGAAAAACGGAACAGGTGAGTGATGTGTGCAGCGTGTGACTGTCGTCAGTCTGGGGGGAGCACTGTGCACTGCTCTTGGGATCCGGCCCGAGCAGGTGGATTGCTGAGATGTGGGCTGGAGTTTGGGTAAGAGAGCAGCTTCTGGTGGCCAGCTGTGGAAAAGGCAGCACTTCTCACTCTCCCAGGAGCTGTTCCAGGCCCCGTCTGGGCTGGCTTGTCCTGGGATATAGCAGGACATGTGGACGTTAGACACCCACCTCCTCAGGTCTGCTCTCTGTCCTATGTGTTTGGCATGTCTGTGTTGAGAGCACTTACTGTTTGAAAGCAATAGAAGATAACTTCTGCATTAGGCTTCTTCAGAAGGAGCTATAGCGTGATCTTTCTGGAGCCTGTCCTTGCTCCTGCCTATGGTGGCCTAACACTGCAGCCCCTCTACACTGTGCACTCAGGAGATGCAGAGGTGGCCTGGGCCTGCCACCGGCAGCCCATCCCCACTGGATTATTTCAAAATAATCCTGGCATCCCTTATCACAGCGCTGGTTTAAGTCCTGGCTGTTCTGCTTGTGTGGGATCCAGCTCCCTGCTAGTGAGCCTGGGAAAGCAGTGGAAGATGGCCCGAGTGATTAGACACCTGCCCACGTGGGACGCCTCTCATGGAGTTCCAGGCTCCTGGCTTCAGCTTGGCCTGCCCTGGTGGTTGTGGGCATTTGGGGAGTGAACCAGTAGATGAAAGCATTCTCTCTGTTTCTGTTCTGTCTGTCTCTCTCTATAACTGCCTTTCAAACAAATGAATAAATCTTTTAAATTTTTCAGTATATATATCTCTAAAATATAAGGATTTTTTTCTAATTAGAATTAGCTAATTAGCTAGTTTCCATGCTACCCAGTGAGGGGCCGTACGGCATCACTCTTGATCCCGTGTGAGTTACAGTCCTTGATGTCTGCAAAGGAAGGAGGAGGATGTCTTCAGATTCCTCACCGCAGGACCCACCTGGGTGGCTGCAGCCTTGACTTCCAAGTGGAACGGGACATCTGCAAAAGGAAGAGTGATGACATCAACACTGTCCTCACCAGAGGGAGGCCTCTGTTGGCTGCTCATGCCAGTGTTGCATCCTCCAGGAGCACTGGTTTGCTGCTACCACTGGAGCCACTCTCGTTGCTGGCCGCTTCACACCGGGGACCTTCACTAACCAGACCCAGGCAGCCTTCCAGCATCCACGTCTTCCGGTGGCCACTGACCCAGGGCTGACCATCAGCTTCTCACAGAGGCATCTTACGTACACTTGTCTACCATGGTTCTCTAACACAGGCTGTCCTCTACACTCTGTGGGCATTGCCATCCCTTGCAACAGGGACCCCACTCAGTGGGTTTGATGTGGTTGATGCTGGCCTGGGAAGGCTGCTTCCACAGAGATCTTGGAGATTGGAGAAGTACGGCAGGCCGCTGCTGAGACAGGCTGTGACCCGGGAGGGATTTCAGGGTGAATGGACAGCCCCCGCTCCTGAGGTCACGGCTGCTCAACCTTGGGGTGCAGAGTGGTCTGAAGACATGCAGGTGCCTCCGTACCATTCAGCAGTGCCCTCTGAAGACTGCCCTGAGCTCCCACTGCCCAGGCTCTGAGTGGTGGAACAGCCACCAGGTGCTTGCAAGCTGCTCTTCACAGTCCCTGAAGCAAAATGGAAATGAGCTGATGGAAAATAAATATGTGAAGATAATTGGAGTTATACCCCAAACATAACTGTGTAATACTGTGAAGTATCCACTCAGGGAACAAACCAGTGTTTTGTGTCTGTGTCTTCAGCTCTGAGGCCATGCAAGCCCTGAGGTCATTGTTGGACTCCACTGGCCTGCTGGGAGTGTCTGCTGGGACGTCGTCTTTTATCCGATCATAAGTCTGAGGTGTACAGGGCACCTCAGAGGACTGCCTCACCTCATACCCTTTTCTTTCTTCTTTTTAAGAAGAAAGTGCCTGAACTTAAAAAAAAAAAAAAGTTTGTTTATGTTCATCTACTTGGAAGGCAAAGAGACAGAGACAGAGAGAGGGAGGGAGAGAAGGAGGGAGGGAGGGAAACAGAGAGAGGGAGAGAGAGGTGGCAGGGGCCCAAGCGCTTGGGCCATCTGCCGCCGCCTTGCCAGGTGCATTTTCAGGACGCTGGATTGGAATCAGAGTCGCCAGTACTGTAACTGGCACTCTGATACATAAGGCCAGTGTCCCAAGCAGCAGCTTAACCTGCTGTGCCACAGATGCCTACCCCTCAGATCATAAAATGAAGAGTGACAACAAGGGATGGGGTGGTGACAGCCAGAGCAGTGGTGCTGCACTCCGGTGGCCGCCTGGCTGGAGGTGGTAGAAGTCAGAGACCTCATGTGTCTGGTCCTTGCAGCCCAGGACCTGGATGCATATGTCTCGTAGTTTACTGTAGCCTGACCATACTACTGTGCCATTTTCAGATATTTTCTTGTGTTGTTTTTTTTTCTTTAAAGACTTGCTTTTTTACTGAAGGCCAGAGACACAGAGAATGACAGAGAGACAGATCTTCCACCTGCTGGTTCACTCCCAAAATGGCCGCAACAGCCGGGGCTGGACCAGGCTGAAGCCAGGAGCCAGGAGCTTCTCCCAGATCTCCCACGTGGGTTCAGGGGGCCCAAGCACTTGGGCCATCTTCTACTATTTTCCCAGTCACATTAGCAGGGAACTGAATCAGAAGTGGAGCAGTGGAATCTCGAACCAGCACCCATAGGGGTTGCTGGTATTGTGGGCAGTGGCTTAACCTGCTGCACCACAACACCAGCCCCCCAAGTATTTCCTTTTTTTTTTTTAAAGATTGTATTTGTTTGAGAGGTAGAGTTACAGACAGTGAGCAGTGAGAGGTGAGACAGAGAGAGAGGTCCTCCATCTGCTGGCTCACTCCCCAAATGGCCACAACTCTACTGCTTTCCCAGGCCACAGCAGAGAGCCGGACCGGAAGAGGAGCAGCTGGGACCAGAACCAGTGCCCATATGGGATGCTGGCGCCGCAGGTGGAGGACTAACCAAGTGAACCATGGCGCTGGCCCACAGTACATGTTTCTAAAGGATAAGGACTCTGTTACAAGTATAACCACAATATTGTTATCACACCATCAAATGTATATGTAATGTTTGAATTGCTTTGATTTCATTAAATGTTTTTCATAGTTGTTCTGTTTGAATTCAGACCTTTGTGCTGTTCACACCCTGTGCTGTCAGCTAGCAAGAGGCTCAGCAGACTTTTCTGTAAAGGGCTTAATGGTAAAGACTAGGCTTTGTGGGCCACAGATAATCCCTGCCTCATACTCTTCATCTGTGTGTGTGTGTTTTCCAACCCTTTAAAAAATGTGAAAGAATATTCTTCAGACACAGGCAGTACAGCAGTGTGGGCTGTAGGTGGGGCTGGGCTTAGGTTTTTTTCCTTTAAAAGAATGCATGATCGGGGCCAGTGCTGTGGTGTAGCAGGTAAAGCTGCCAGCTGCCGTGCCGGCATCCCATATGGGTGTCAGATCGAGTCCTGGCTGCTCCACTTCTGATCTAGCTCCATTGTGGCCATCTGGGGAGTGAACCAGTAGATGGAAGATCTCTCTGCCTCTGCCTCTCTGTAGCTTGGCCTTTCAAATAAATCAATCTTTTAAAAAGGAAAGGAGGCCGGCGCCACGACTCACTAGGCTAATCCTCCGCCTTGCGGCGCCGGCACACCGGGTTCTAGTCCCGGTCGGGGCGCCAGATTCTGTCCCAATTGCCCCTCTTCCAGGCCAGCTCTCTGCTGTGGCCAGGGAGTGCAGTGGAGGATGGCCCAAGTGCTTGGGCCCTGCACCCCATGGGAGACCAGGATAAGTACCTGGCTCCTGCCTTCGGATCCGCGCGATGCGCCGGCCGCAGCACGCCGGTTGCGACAGCCATTGGAGGGTGAACCAACGGCAAATGGTAGACCTTTCTCTCTGTCTCTCTCTCTCACTGTCCACTCTGCCTGTCAAAAAAAAAAAAAAAAAAAAAAAAAAAAAAAAAAAAGAAAAGAAAAGAAAAAGAAAGGAAATGTACTGGAGCAGGACCACTGCAGCCAGCCCAGCCCCTCCTGCTTCAGCACCTGTGTGTAGCAGTCTTGTATGGATCTCACTAGATTTGTTCTTAGGTATTTGATACATTTGTGTTATTTTTTAAAACATTATTTATGTATTTGAAAGGCAGAGAGAAGAGTGAGAGACAGATATCTTTTATGTGCTGGTTTACTCTCCAAATAGCCACAGCAGCCAAGGCTAGGCCAGGTTCAAGCTAGGAGCCAGGAGTTCAATCTGGGTCTCCTACCTGGGTTGCAGAGGCCCAAGTACTTGGACCATCATCTGCTGCCTTCCTAGGCACATTGCACGAAGCCGGATCAGAAAGAGGAGCTGGGGGGCTAGCACTGTGGGACAGTGGGTTAAAGCCCCAGCCTGCAGCGCTGGCATTCCATATGGGTGCCAGTTTGAGTCCTTGCTGTTCCACTTCTGATCCACCTCCCTGCTAATGTTCCTGGGAAAGCAGTGGAGGATGACCCAAATCCTTGGGCCCCTGCACCCATGTGGGAGACCCAGAAGAAGCTTCTGGCTCCTGGCTTCTGGTGGGCTCAGCTCCGGCTGTTGCAGCCTTTTGGGGAGTGAACCAGTGGATTGAAGACCTCTCTCTCTCTGTCTGTCTCTGCCTCTCTCTATGGCTCTTTCAAATAAATAAAATCAAGAAAGAAAGAGAGAGAGAAAGAAAGAGATAAGACAAGACAGGAAAGGAAATGAGAGGGGAGGGGAAAGGAGGGGAGGGTAGCTGGGACTTGAACTCCCAATGCCAGCATTGTAGGTAGAAGTTTAACCCACTGGGTCACACCCCTCGCCTCAGTGTTATTCTAGGTGGCATATTTTACATTGAATTTTTAATTGCGATAATTGTTAGATTCACGTGCTGTTGTGAAATAATATGAAGCAAACCTTGTATACTCTGACCAGTTGCCTCTCATGGTGACCTTTATAAAACACTAGTGGAGTATCAGCCGCGATGCTGACACTGGTACGATGTCAGGTTCTGGTCTCTCCAGTTCGCACTCAGTTTGTGTCTATGTGTGTGTGACGTTCTCTGCAGCTTATCACTGTGAGTGTTGTGAATCCTCTGTCACAGATTCTGAACCCACAGGGGTCCTCTGTGTTCTTTCCTGACCACACCCACCTTCCCCACCCCTTTCCACTCCTTCCCCATCCCATCCCCTTGGCAGCCACTAATCTGTTCTCCATTTCAAACTTATTTAAATTCTAAATTATGTACCCTTGGAGGTTACTCTTCTCGCTCAGCATAGTTTCCTGTAGGTTTGTCCAGGTTGTACCAGCAGTTCATTCCTGTTTATTGCGCGGTATTCCTTGGCATGTATGTACTATACTTCATTTAGTCAGTCACAGGTTTGGGGCCGATATTGTAGTGAAGTGGGTAAAGCGTCTGTGATGCCAGCATACTATACTGGTGCCGATTCGTGTCCCAGCTGCTCTACTTCCACTCCAATTCCATGCTAATGGTCTAGTAAGAGCAGCAGAAGAAGGCCCAAGTATTTGGGCCCCTGCCACCCATGTGGGAGGCCCAGATGAAACTCCTGGCTCGGCCTGGCCCAGCATTGGCTGTTGCGGCTATTTGGGGAATGAACTGATGGATGGAAGATATCTCTCTCTCCCCCTCCACTTTCTCTCTGTAATTCTTTCAAAATAAATATATAAATAAATAATTTTTTCAAGATTTATTTCATTTATTTGAAAGGCTGAGTTACAGAGACAGAGAGAAGGAGAGACAGAGACAGGTCTTTCATCTGCTGGTTCACTTCCCAAATGGCTGCAACTGTTGGGGGAGGGCCAAGCTGGATCCAGGAGCTGCTTCTGGGTTTCCCATGTATGTGCAGGGGCCTGAGGACTCGGGCCATCCTTTGCTGCTGTCCCAGGTGCATTAGCAGGGAGCTGGATTGGAAGTGGAGCAGCCAGGACTTGAACAAGCTTAACCTGCTAGGCCAGAGCGCCCCCCCCCCCAGTCATTTTCAAAGCCCTCCTCCCTCCCTCCCTCTTCTCCCTGCTCTTTTCCTTCTGCTTTCTCCTTCCCTGTTCTCCCCCAACTCATCTTCCCGTCTTCTTCTGCCGTAGTCCGTTTTCTGTTGCTATAACTGAGTGCCCTAAACTGGAGGATTTACAAAGAAAAGTACTTTATTTCTTATAGTTGTAGAGGCTGGTAAGTCAGAAGTCCAGGGCAGCTTCTGGTGAGGGCCTCGCTCCTGCGAGGATGCTGCCAAGTCCTGAGGTAGCACAGGGCGTCCAGTCCTGGGACAGCAAATGTGCTAGCTCAGTCCCTTCTGTGCCTTATAAAACCACTGTGCAGGGCCCGTGCTGTGGCACAGTGGTTAACGCCCCGGCCTGCAGCACCAGCATCCCATATGGACACCAGTTCGAGTCCCAGCTGCTCCACTTCCGATCCAGCTCTCTGCTATGGCCTGCAAAAGCAGTAGAAGATGGCCCAAGTCTTTGTGTCCCTGAACCCGTGTGGGAGACCTGGAAGAAGCTCCTGGCTCCTGGCTTTGAATCCGCTCAGCTCTGGCCATTGCAGTCATTTAGGGAGTGAACCAGCGGATGGAAGACCTCTCTCTCTCTGGCTCTACCTCTGTAACTTTGTCTTTCAAATAAATAAAATAAATCTTTAAAACACAAAAAACCACCAATGCAGCCATGGATCCCCACCCTCGTGATTTCATCCAATCCTAATCACTTCTCGAAGGCCCCGCCTCCTAATCTGTTAGCCTGTGACCTCGCAGATTAAGTTTCTAGCACGTGCAGACTTCCGCATCAGCTCGCACAAGGAAGCGTGGCTGCCTCTCCGCACGGGGTGGGTCATTGTTCCCAGCAGAGCTCTGGGCCTGCCCTAGCCTCGTGGCCTGGGTGGAGCGGTCACTTTGTCCAGAGCTGAATTGCAGACGTATGGCGGCCGGGGACCCAGCCCAGGCTTCTCTGCCTCTGTCTCCACTCTGACCAAAGTCCATTTCTGGAGCAGGTCACCATGTCTGTGGTGGGCACCCCGACCCCACGGCTTCACAGTGAGCTGTGCACACCCTCGCAGCACTGTCGCCAGCCCCTTGTAAAATGCCTCTTTCTTCTCTCCTCTTCCACCACTGAGGTTCTTGTCAGTGGCTGGTTGTCTTGTGTGCTCTCTGCACCAGGAGTCGAGCTCCAGGTCTCAGGCTGAAACAGTAACCCTCCTCTCCCAGCTCGGCTGTGTCAGCCTTGCTCATTTCTCTTGGTATTGAATAGTGTCTTCACTGCTGAGTGGAACGCATGGAGTTGCTGCCCGTGCTGTCTGCTCAGGTGCTGTCCCCTGGGAAGTGGCATCTCATCAGCCCATGCGCCTCACCTCCAGCACTGCTGCTCTCCTGTCCAGGCAGAGGCCTTGCTTATGGTTCATTCGGATTCTTTCCGCTGGTCCTGCTTAGTCTTGAACGTTCACCTTTCTCATGACAGTTCTTGGGGGAAGTGTCTCACGGTTTTCTCAGCCCCTGCTTGTTTATCAGCTGTGTTTAATTCCAGGTGATTGCGTTCCTGAAGAAGAAGGACAAGTTCATCAGCCTGGTGCTGAAGCACATTGGCACCTCAGCCCTCATGGATCTGCTCTTGCGCCTGGTCAGCTGTGTGGAGCCAGCCGGGCTCCGGCAGGAAGTCCTGAACGTGAGTCCCTGGAAGGGAAGGGCTGTGTGTTTCTAGCATGCTTCAGGCGGCCTGGTGTCCCTCAGGGGTCTGGTCAAGGCCTGTGGTCAGCATCTCTTCCCTCTTGAGGCCGCATCCATCTAGAAGCAGAGAGGAGAGATGCCATCTCTCCTGTGCTCTGACCTCCGCTCTGAAGAGGGCACTGGGCCTTTCCTCACTGCCGGTGCCCCTGCCCCTGCCCCTGCCGCCTTGGAGCAGCTCAGTGAGGTGTCAGGTGCCGCGGGAGGGGAAGGTCCCCAGCCCAAAGAAGGCCTGGACGTCAGGGCTGGACAACTGCTTTGTCACCGTCACTTGTAATGTGTCGTGGAGCCGTGGCCTCTGCCTGGCACAGCGGTCACTCTTAGGTTAATAACTTCCTGTGGAGCTAGAACTGCTGTTTCCGAGTCGGGTGGGAAGCCAAGCAGCCTCACCGGGCCATCTCCTTCCCTTTGTAGAGTGGCCCTGTGAGCATCTGGGGCATGGGTCGTTGGTGGGCCCTGGAGGAGCCAGTGTGGCCAGCTCTGCAGGGCCCCGACACTGGGCCTCCATAACTCTGGGACCTTAAAAAGTGTCCGCTTCAGCCCTCACAGTGCTCCTGTGGCCCTACCAAGGTCCTTTGGCTTTTCTGTTCCCAAGAAGGTGCCGGTGCCACAGGGAGCAGAGGTCATCTGACTTCCATGTCCAGCTGGTCCCCAGCTCATTCCGACTCACGCACCCTGGTCTTCAGAGACTGCCCTGAAGACAGAGCTCACCCGTGCACCGTTAGGACAGATGGACAGGAGTCTCTCCAGTTAGACTCTTACCTACTGCGTGTTCTCTGTGTTCTCTGTGGGTCTGTGTAGAAAGATAGGTCAGGCAGAGGCTCTGGGAAACCTGGGTGTGTGGATTTCTGTGGCCTCAAAGAACTTCTCTTCTGTTTGCCTAATCATGCACAGAGATGTTAACACACGTTTTGTCCCTTTTAGTGGCTGAATGAAGAGAAGATCATCCAGCGACTTGTGGAGTTGATCCATCCGAGTCAGGATGAGGATGTGAGTGTGGTGCTCACAGAGCCCACCTGCTTTGTTATATTATTTACGTATGTGTATGTTTACTTACTTACATGAAAGGCAGAGGGAGATCTTCTGTCCATTGGGGCACTCCCCAAATGGCCACAATAGCCAGGGCTGGGCCAGGCCAAAGCCAGGAGCCAGGAGCTTTGTCCGAGTCTCTCACATCTCACCTTCTTTCCCGCATGAAGCCCCTACTGTTTACTTTTCTTCCTCTATTCAAGTGCCAACCTCTAGGTTCTTGGGGTTTTTTCAACTAAAAATAATGTCTGTATTATAAAAATAGTTCTGTTGGTTATCTATTCATATAATTATCTGTAGTTGATTAGCAGATTATCCCGGAATTAGCTGCAGGATTTGCCTGGGAGGGCTTGCTTCTGTGGACACAGAGGCTTTGCAGCACTCTGCTCCCTGGGACTGCTGGCCAAAGCCACCCTCAGCTCTGAGCGCTGAGCCACATGTGCCTGTCCACAGGGCTCCTGTGTGGCCGCTGGCTTCCTCCCGTGAGCAGGAGGAAGCCATGCAGACTCATCTCAGCAGTGCCCTCCCTCCTTAGGCACGAGAGTACGTGTGGCCCGCACGCAGGGAGACAGGGTGACAAGGGCATGGATTCTGAAGTGCGGGGAACTGGGGAGGGGCTCATTGGCGGCCTCCCAGAAACTGTTCACCATAGATCTGGAAGCATGCAAGGTGACACGGGGCCTCCTGTCTCAGCTGCCCTCTCCCTGCAAATCCTGATAGACCTTCTTTTTTGTGTTACAGATATTTACACATAGACACACGCACATGCACAGTCCTCAGGAAGTTTGAAAACAGTTGGTGCTGGGCCGGCACCACGGCTCACTAGGCTAATCCTCTGCCTTGCGGTGCCGGCACACCGGGTTCTAGTCCCGGTTGGGGCGCCGGATTCTGTCCCGGTTGCCCCTCTTCCAGGCCAGCTCTCTGCTGTGGCCAGGGAGTGCAGTGGAGGATGGCCCAAGTACTTGGGCCCTGCACCCCATGGGAGACCAGGATAAGTACCTGGCTCCTGCCATCGGATCACCGCAGTGCGGCGGCGGCCATTGGAGGGTGAACCAATGGCAAAAGGAAGATCTTTCTCTCTGTCTCTCTCACTGTCCACTCTGCCTGTCAAAAAAAAAAAAAAAAAAAAGAAAGAAAGAAAGAAAAGAAAGAAAAGAAAAAAAAAAAGAAAGAAAAGAAAAGAAAACAGTTGGTGCTGACTGACTCATGTCTGAAGCTGTCACAGCTGCCTGGCCACTCTGCTTTGTTCTGTGTCAGTGCTCGGGGCCTGGCCAGACAGCTGGGTAGGGCCTTGTTGGCACCTGTGGGAAGCAAGGCGGCTGCCCTGTTCCAGGGTGGAGACCACTTGCAGGTGTGAGTGTAATGGTCCGTCCCTTGTCTCAAAGGTGGGCTCAAGGCCACACCACAGAACCAACCAACTTGCTTTCGTTTTTTCCTAAAGCAGTCGACCATGTGTCTCCTCCTCAGACCAGTGCCCAGGAAGGGGGTTATCCTGTCAGCCATGCCCACCTCCCCCACGGAACACGCCTCCATTGCCAGCAAGTGCATATTTGACTCGGATTGCACAGCTGCAGGGTGGGAGGGGCTGGAAGGTTTGGTGCTCCCCTTCCTCTGCAGCAGCTTCCCTGCTTTCGCTGATAGTGGCTCCTTGTCACGCTTAAAACGCAGAATCGTGACAAGGCTGCATGTTCAGTGTCTCTCCGAGCGTGGGTCAGAGGTGGAGAGCAGATCTGTGTTGCACTGCATCAGAATTCCTGGGGATGGCTCAGAACAGCTGAAAACTTAGCCGGGTCTCCACGTTGGAGACGGGAAAGATGGACGCGGCTTCTCTGACACAGACCGGGGTCTGGGCCTTTGTGGAGCTGCTCTCGACGAGGCAGCTCCGTCAGGGGCAGCAGCAGGGCTGGCGCTGCTGTCGTCTCTCCCGGGCACTGAGGGCTGTGTCTCCCTTGTCTTCCAGAGGCAGTCGAATGCGTCTCAGACTCTCTGTGACATCATTAGGCTGGGCAGAGACCAGGGCAGTCAGCTGCAAGAGGCTACGGAGCCAGACCCCCTCCTCACAGCGCTGGAGTCGTGAGTGCTGGTGGGCTGTGGTGTGGTGGGCCTCTCTCTGAGACCCTGCTCTGATGGCACTCTGCTGGGCTGGCTGTGAAACACTCCCCAGATTCGGAGCCTAGTTAATTTGATGGGCCTTTTTCTTGGGGGAGGGGTCTCCTGGCAGATCCAGAGGTGGGGCCAACAGGGAAGGGATGAACTGTGAACCTGGGCACCTGCCTTGAACCCAGGTAGGCTGGAGTGAGAGCCCTCAGATCCAGGGTGTAGCCGGGTCCTCCGCGCGAGGGGAAGGGGCTGTCCTCACCTCCTCTGCGTGGCAGTGACCTCGTGTGGGTCCGCAGGCAGGACTGCGTGGAGCAGCTTCTGAAGAACATGTTTGATGGGGACCACACCGAGAGCTGCCTCGTCAGTGGGACCCAGGTGTTGCTCACCTTGTTGGAAACCAGGCGGGCTGGGTGAGTCCCAAGGGAAAATGAGAGTTGTTTGACGTTTCAGACAGGAGGTGTGGTTGGGAGACCTGTGGAGTGTGCTCCAGTAGTGGGCGCAAGCAGGACCGGCACCAGCATCCCTGGGCCTGTGCGCGCCGTCTGCGGATGCTGCTGTGCAGTTGGGAGGCCATGCTGCGTATACAATGTTTCTGTCTGCCCTGTCCCATTACATGCTGTGGCAATGGCCTTGCTCTCTCAGGGTGACCGCTGTCCCTTGTTTCTGTGTGCTGGGACCAATAGCCTGTGCATTTTTATAAAGAAAAAAAGACAATAGGAAAGTGGCAAGAAATTGACTTAATCTTGGTGGCTAAAGTACCAACTGTTCCTCTTTGGTATTATCTAGTACACATTTATTAGTGTCTTACCTAAAAGTAGAATTAAGACATTCTAATCATGGTTTCTACTGATTTTTTTTTAACTCTTCATAAAAGCAAGAGGTCTGGGCCACGTCTGGGTGCTGAGCCCAACCCTGCTTGTGACAGAAGGGAAAGCTTAAAAATTAGAACAGAGAGAAACCAGCTGTTTCTCTTTACTTTTTAATCCTTTTCCATATTTAATTTTTAAAAAGATTTGTTTATTTATTTGAAAGTCAGATTTACAGAGGGAGAGGGACAGGGACAGGGACAGGGACAGGGAGAGGGAGAGGGAGAGGGAGTACTTGGTGGGAGTACTTGGGCCATTTTCCACTGCTTTTTCCAGGCCATTAACGGGGAGCTGAATTGGAAGGGGAGCAGCCAGGACAAGAATCGGCATCTATATGGGCTGCCGGTGTCATGGGTGGTAGCTTTACCTACTGTACCACAGCTCTAAATTTTTTTCTATAATGGCCATGTATTACTTCTGTAATTGGAAAAAAAATGTTCACATAAATATCTCAGAGAAGTTTGTTTGAAAGCCAAAGGGACATTGTGGCTTAGTCCCCTGTCCTATACCTCAGCCAAAATTGTGGGCCACAGAGAATGTTTCCACAAGCGGAGGGAGAAGTCCCCCAGGGCTGAGGGGCAGTGGGGAAGCAAAACTGCATCACCTCTCCTGGCCCTGTGCCCCGATGTCCCTGGAAACGCTTTCCTAAAACGTGCCTTTGTTTCCTCCCTTTCCCAGGCACCACATCATGTGTGGAGGTCTTGAGTAGTGTCATTCTTGGGATCTGGGAAAATTAAAAAGAGCTCTCTTAGGAGGAAGACGTTGACTGAGTGTGAGGGCACAGGTATGCCCGAGTTCCCATCTCTGTCCTCATCCACAGGACAGAGTGCGCAGTGGACTCCTTTTCTCAGGGACTGGAGCGATCGTTCACCGTCAGCAGCAGCGTCCTGCATGGCCTGGAGCCCAGGCTGAAGGACTTTCACCAGCTCCTGCTTCGCCCGCCAAAGGTAGATGGCTGTGAACTGCTGTTGCCTGCCCTTGGAGACACTGCGGGATGGTGGCCCACAAGGAGAGGACCTCACAGTTGGTCTTGGAGGAGGCAGAGTGTGGTGTGGATGCATTTTAACACTGTTGTTCCGAGACCCCCAGGTTGCACCCCACCCCAGTCTGTGAACATCCATCTCTGCCCCACTATGGGGAGGCTTGGGAATGGGGACTTTGCATCCGGCCCAGGCAGCTGAACCCGAGGCCAACTTGGAAACATCCAAGCTGGGGACACCTGACCAAGGGCCACATGGCTCCGGGGGCAAGGGCCAGGATGCCCTAGAGGAGGCTCGGGGCAGTGCGTGGGTTGTGTTGAGAGGGGTGAGTACATAAGAATGCTCAGCTCCCCCTGTGCATCCAGTCTCAGTGGTACCCTCCCCAGACAGCCCTGTCTGCATTCCAGTGCTTCTCCTCAGCACCTCCGGTCTGCTGGTCTTCTCCTCCCCACTAGCAAGGAAGCTTCATGGAGGCCTGGATTCTGTGTTGGTGGGACATTTATTCAGTGAAAAGGGGACCCGTTTTGCTGAATGAAGCGAGGGTCAGAAATACCCAAATCCAGTCTGACCTTGATCATGTTCCTGGGGTGTGTTCATTAGCTTTGTGTCCTGGGATCTGTCCCAGTGAGAGCCCCAGGGACACTGGCAGCAAGATGCCCCACCAAGGGCTCCAGCTGATCGGAGGCTCTTGACACCATCACGGTGGTCCTGCTGGCCCCGTCTCTTAGGGTGACCCTTTGCGTTGGCCTGCACACATGCGTGTGCCCTGGGCTTCCCAGGACCAGCTGAGTGTGCCTACTCACTCTTTGTGAGGCCGAGGGGAATGGTAGGGTTCTTAACCCTGCTGATACCCTCATTGCCTCTAGCAGTTAGCCCTGCCTCAAGGGACCCCCCTCCCCCTGCACACATTGCATTTCCTCCTAAACTGGGCCACGTTGTGGAGCAGTGACTCCGACCCTGAGTGAGTGGAACATGAAGTTGTAGAAGCCGGCAGTGGCTACACTGGCCATAGGCTTCAGTGGGGGGGACCTCCTGTATTTACAGAAAAAAGCGATCCTGACCACCATTGGCGTGCTGGAGGAGCCCCTGGGGAATGCCCGTCTACACGGTGCCCGCCTCATGGCTGCACTGCTGCACACAAACACGCCCAGCATCAACCAGGAACTCTGCCGGCTCAACACCATGGACTTACTGCTGGTGAGGACACCCAGCCGGTCCTGCGCCACACGCGTCATGCAGGGTTGGTGGCCAGACACGCGCAGGAGTCAGTGGCAGCAGAACAGGATCCCTTGGGGCAGACAGCGGGACTTACTCACCTGGACAGGGGACTGCCTAGGGGAGGTCTGGGCCTGAGTCCCAGCTCCCTGGTTGGTCATCTGAGTGACAGCGGGACAAGCCTCCACCTCGGACTCACGGGGATCTACCATAGAACTACCTGAATGCAGAGGGTGGGTTTCCGATGCTGTTTGAGGCCCTGGGGCTGTGTGCATCCGTATCCTGTCTTACTCTGAGTTCACAAGGTAGCACTTGGACTGTAGCTCCTGAGCATTAAGTGTCCTGAATGAGAAGCCCCCGTCATCTGCAGCGGAGTTCACCCTTGCCGTTCTTTTCAAAGCCAGCAGGGTGCGCCCTCCACTCAGCAGATGCTGCCCCTGGCCTGTGAGATGGCCCTGGTGTCTGACAGGCGGGTTGAGCAGGCAATGACAGCTGCATGGTGCCTCTGGGTGGGAGAGGTTGGAGCTAGTCCCCTGAGAGGGAGGGTCTTACAGGGAGGACTTCGCTCCCGGCGGCTGCTATCGGCACAGCCTCCTCTCTTCTGCCCTGCCCTTGGCCTCTGCCCCTGGGAGGCTGGAATCTCCCTGCAATCTTAGTCCCAGGGTGAGGCAGCCCTGGATCTTGGCCTGCAGCACTGTCTGCCTCAGAAGCTCTCCCAGTTTGGCCTCTGCTGGGGCTGTGAAATCCCAGTCTAGCTCAGGGGATCATCGCAAACTTTCCCTCTTGCTGAAGAATTCTCTTCCCCCTCTTTCTTCCTTGCCTTTGTTTTATTGTGGTAAAGTAGCATAATGTGAAATTTGCCATTGTAACCATTTTTACAATTTCGTGGCATCAGGTTCATTCACACTGTTGTATAAGCATTGCCTTATCTATTTCCAGAACTTGTTTCATTCTCCCAAACAGGAGTTCTGTTGCGTTAAACACTAACTCTTCTACCCACTGTCAACCACTGTGCTAGTCTGTCTCTGAACTTGAGAGGCGCACCGTGTAAGTGGGGTCAGAATGCTTGTCTCTTTATGACTAGATTATTAGAGTCAGTCTCATCTCCTCAAGGCTCTTCAGTGTTGTAGCTTCCTTCCTTCCTAAGGCTGAGGCATATCGCTATGTGTGTAGACCGCACTTTGTCCGTCCATTCATCCATCCACAGATACTTGGCTTCCCTCGACCTTTTGGCTGTTTTGAATGATGCTGCATGAACCTGAACACACAGATAACTGTGTGAGTCCCTGTTTGGATATATACCTAGGAGTAGTCTTGCTGGGTCATATGGTTCTATTGCTTTTTAAGATTTATTTGACGGCCGGCGCCGTGGCTCACTAGGCTAATCCTCCGCCTTGCGGTGCCGGCACACTGGGTTCTAGTCCCAGTTGGGGCGCCGGATTCTGTCCCGGTTGCCCCTCTTCCAGGCCAGCTCTCTGCTGTGGCCTGGAAGTGCAGTGGAGGATGGCCCAAGTGCTTGGGCCCTGCACTCCATGGGAGACCAGGAGAAGCACCTGGCTCCTGCCTTCGGATCAGCGCGGTGCGCCGGCCACGGCAGCCATTGGAGGGTGAACCAACGGCAAAGGAAGACCTTTCTCTCTCTCTCTCTCTCTCTCTCTCGCTGTCCACTCTGCCTGTCCAAAAAAAAAAAAAAAAAAAAAAAAAAAAAAAAGATTTATTTGAAAGAGCAAGGGGGCGGGGGAGAAGTCTTCTTTCTACTGATTCACTCCCCAAATCCCAAATGGCTGCCATGGCTGGGGGCTGGTTCAGGCTGAACTCAGGAGCCAAGAACTCCATCTGGGTCTCCCACATGGGTAGCAGAGACCCGAGTACTCAGGCCTCTTGCCAGGCTTTCCCAGATTCATTATAGAGGGATGGAATGGAGTGAGTAGCTACAACTTGAACCAGCGTGCCAATGTAGGATGCCGGCAAGACAAGCAGCGGCTTTACCCCTGAGTCACAAGTGTCGGCTGCTGTGGTTCAGTGTTTTTACAACGGCCAAAGACGAACCAATCCAGAGCCCAGGAGCCAGGAGCCAGGAGCCAGGAGCTTCCTCCAAGTCTCCCACGTGGGTGCAGGGGCCCAAGCACTTATCTTCTGCTCCTTTCCCAGGCACATTATAGCAGGGAGCTGGATCAGAAATGGAGCAGCTGGGACTCAAACTGGTGCCCATAGAGGATGCTGGCAGCGCAGACAGAGGCTTAACCTACTGCCCCACAGCACTGGCCCAGTTTTTGAATTTTCTCATTAGTTGTTGGAGTTATTTCTATATTCTAAGTATTAATCCTTTATCAGATGTATGATTTACAAATATTTTCTCCCTTTTTGTGGTATGTCTTTGTACTCTTTTTTTGTTTCTTTTCAGATTTACTTTATTTGAGGTGCTGGTACTATGGCACAGCGATTAAGCCACTGCCTGCAGTGCTAACATCCCATATGGGTGCAGGTTTGAGTCCTGGCTGCTCTATTTCTGATCCAGCTTCCTGCTAACGTACCTGGAAAAGCAGTGAAAGATGGCCCAAGTACTTGGGCTCCTGCACCCATGTGAGAGACCCAGAAGAATCTCCTGGCTCCTAGCTTCAGCCTGGCCCAGCCCTGGCCATTGCAGCCATTTGAGGAGTGAGCTAACAAATGAAAGATCTCTCTCTCTCTCTGCCCACCCCCACATAACTCTACCTTTTAATAAATAAATAAATCTTTTTAAAAAAGGATTTATTTTATTTGAAAGGCAGAATGGGACCCAGCATTGTGGCATAGCTGGTAAAGCCAGTTGCCTATAACACTGGCATGCCATAGTGGGCCAGTTCAAGTCCTGGCTGCTCTACTTCCAATTTAACTCCCTGCTTATGTGTCTAGGAAAGCAGCAGCAGATGGCCCAAGTGCTTGGGCCCCTGCACTCAAATGAGAGATCAAGAAGAAGCTCCTGGCTCCTGACTTTGTCCTGGCCCAACCCTGGCATTTGCAGCCATCTGTGGAGTGAACCAGCAGATGGAAGATTCTCTCTCTTTCTCTCTCTCTCTCTGCCTTTCAAATAAATAAAATAAATCTTTAAGAAAAGGAAAAAAAAAAAAAAAAGAAAAGCAGAATGACAGAGAAAGAAATCTTATATCTTCTGGTTCACTGCCCTGAATGATCACAACAACCAAGGCTGGGCCAGGCTGAAGTCAGGAGCCTGAAACTCCATCTGGTCTCCCACATGGGTAGCCACAGCCCAGGTACTTCAACCACATTCCACTGCCTTCCCAGATGCATTAACAGGAAGCTGGATCGTAAGTGGGACTCAAACCAGTGCCCATATGGGATGCCAGCGTTCCAGACAGTGGCTGTGGCACAGTGCTGGCCCATAAGAATTTTAACTTTTTGAATGCTATTGTACATGAAACTTTCATCTTAAGTTGTAGTCATTTTAAATTTATTGAAAATGTTCAATATTTTCATAAATTATAATACTTTACATTTCAAACATAATGAAATTTGTGTTGTAAAAATATGTGTATTTTTAAATTGACACATAGTAGTTGTAAATGGAGTAAAGTGTGACATTTTTATAATGAATAATGATTAAATCAGGATGATTGACATAATCATCATCTCAGACATTTCTCATTTTTTGTATTAGGAACCAGAGTTGCCTCTACCAGCAATTTCAATATATGATTAACTTCTTATCCTTTGCTATAAAACATTGAAAGTCATTTTCCTGTCCAGCTGCACCTGGTGCAGGTGACTCACCCTCTGTCCTGTCCCTCTCCCACACCCCTCCCAGGCTGTGGTCACCACTGCTCTACTCTGAACTTGGGTGAGGTAACTTTCAACCAGCATATAAGTGAGAACATGTGGTACTTTGTATACCTGACTGAAGTTTGTTTTTCTTAATTTTCTTTTTTGATTGTTCATTGCTTGTGTATAGAAATGCAACTGATTTGCATGTGTTGGTTTTGTATCCTATAACTGCTGGGTATTAGCTTTCCAGTTGATGTGAAATCTGCAGAGATGTCAAAGAGTAAGATCATATCATTGGAAAATGGGATTTTACTTCTCCCTTACAATTTATTTTATTTTATTTATTTGACAGAGGTAGACAGTGAGAAAGAGAGAGAGAGAGAGACAGAGAGAAAGGTCTTCCTTCCGTTGGTTCACCCCCCAAATGGCTGCTATGGCCGGAGCTATGCAATCCAGAGCCAAGAGCCAGGCGCTTCCTCCTGGTCTCCCATGTGGGTGCAGGGCCCGAGCACTTTGGCCATCCTCCACTGCCTTCCTGGGCACAGCAGAGAGCTGGACTGGAAGAGAAGCAACCGGGACAGAATCTGGTGCCCATAAGGGATGCTGGCACCACAAGGCGGAGGATTAACCAAGTGAGCCATGGCGCCGGCCCCTCCCCTTTCCAGTTTAGATGCCTTTTATTTCTTTCTCTTTCCTAAGTGTCTGCCTAGAACTTCCAGTACTGTTAATAGAAGAGGTTAGAACGGGCACCCTTGCTTTGTTCCTAATCTTGGAGGAGGAGATTTTCATCTTTAAACACTGAGTGTGTTGTTAGCTGTGGAATTTTTATAGATGCCTTTCTAATTTTATAATAAAAGTTTTCTTCTATTCCTAATTTATTGAATTTTTTAGGAAAGTTAAATGTTGTTGAATGCTTTTTCTTTATAAATTGAGATGATCATTGGTATTTTATCCATTGGTATTTTGTCCTTAATTCTTGTGTATTACATTGAGTGATTTTCATTGGTTGAACCATCCTTTCATTCCAGGAATAAATCCTGCCTTGGCATGATATGTGCTTCTAACACGCTGCTGAATTTGCCTTGTTAATCTTTTGCCTCAGTTATCTTAAGGAGTATTGTGTCTGCAGTTTTCCTTTTTTTTTTTTTTTTTTTTTTTTTTTAAGATTTATTTGTTTATTTGAAGGGCAGAGATAGAGAGACAGACACAGAGACACAGAGAGGTCTTCCATCCACTGGTTCATTCCCCAAATGGCTGCAACGGCTGGAGCTGGGCCAAGGCAAAACCAGGAGCTTCTTCCGGGTCTTCCATGCGGGTGCAGAGGCCCAAGCACTTGGGCCATCTTCTGCTGCTTCCCCAGGCCCTTAAAGCAGGGAGCTGGATTGAAAGTGGAGCAGCCAGGACTTGAACCAGTGCCCATATGGGATTTACCCACTACACCACCACAGCATTGGCTCTGCAGTTTTACTGTCCTGTCTGGCATTGGTATCAGGGCTCCATGGAATGAATCAGGAATGTTCCTCCTGTTCAATTTTTTCCCAAAGATTTATTTATTTATTTAAAGACAGAGTTAGAGGAGGAGACACACAGAGAGATCTTCCACCTGCTGATTCACTTCCCAGATGATCGCAACGACTGGGGCTGGGCCAGGCCCAAGCCAGAAGCTTGGATCTCCCATGTGGGTGCAGAGGCCCACGCACTTGAGCCTCTCTGTTTCCCAAGTACATCAGCAGGGAGCGGATGGAAGTGGAGCAGCCAGGACTCTGACCAGCGCCCACATAAGTTGCCGGCACCACAGACAGATGCTTTCCCTGCTGTGCCACCACGTCACTGCCCCTCCCTCAGCACCACCCCCAACTCCTGTTCAGTTTCTGGGGAGAGTTTGGGACTGGTGTTATTCCCCTTTAGAGGGTAGGCAGAATTCGCCAGTGAAGCCACCTGCTCTGGCCTTTGCCCGCTGAGAGGTGGTGGTGGCCCCGTGTTGCAGGTGAGGATACGTAATGAACCTTCAGGGTGACTCGGCCACACAGGCAGAGAAAGGGACGGTGTTCCGGAAGGAGGGCCTAAACTTGCATCCTGTCCCATCTCTCACTCTGCACACCCCTCCTTCTCCACGTGGCCAGCACATGGCTGAGACAGAGGTTGCCGTGGGCCCTGGTGTGTGTGAGGTGGCAGTAGGCGCGCCTCCTCCCTGCCATGTTAGCAGGTCGGAGACTCAGCGGCAGGTTTGAAGAGGGTGTGTGGAGGCAGGGGACAGCAGCTGTCTTCATTCAGCCACTGTTGTCTGCCAGGAGAAACTCGCTGGCATCAGTCCATGCTGCTTGGATCTGGCTGCTGTGGGGAATATTCCAGTGTCCACAAACAACTCGTCCTGACGGAGCCCCCGTATGTCGAGAGTTTAGCAACACTTCTAGGAACTCATGGATCAAAGACAGAATCAGAGGCAGCCACTTGGTGCAGAGGTCGGGGTGCCCCGGGAAGCCTGCATCCCACATTGGAGCGCCTAGATTCAGTGTCCAGCTCCACTTCTCATTCTGGTTTCCTCACGGGCATCCCGAGAGGCAGCGTGATGGCCCAAGAGCTCTGGCCCCTACCGCCTCTGTGGGTCCCAGGCTCCTGGCTTCAGCCTAGCCCAGCCCTAGCTGTTGCAGGCATTTGGGGAGTGGTCCAGTGCACAGCAGATATCTCCATCTCTGTCTCTTGGTGTATCTCTTGTCTTCCAAGTAAATAAAAATAAATAATTTTTGAAAAAAGAAAGACAAAATTATAAGGGTGGTATTTGGACAGCAGTGAAGATGCTGCTTCAGACACCCATATCCCATGTCGGAGCACCCGGGAATTTCTTTAAAAATCCAGGTGACATTTTGGCCTAGTGTAACCACCAGTCAGGACACCCACATCCTCACCCTAGACCTGGGTTTGATTCCTGGCTCCAGCTCCTGGTTCCGTCTTCTTGCGAACGCGGACTCTGGGAGACAGTGGTCACGGCTCCAGTGCTTGGGTCCCTGCTGTCCGTAGGACAGACCTGGACCAAGTTCTCTGCTCCTGGTTTTGTCTCACCTAGTCCCTGTTCTTGCAGGTTGGATGTGGGACCTGTGTGTGTGTGTATCTCTGCCCCTCAACTGAATAAAATATAATTTTAAACAATTCATTTAAATAAGGTTTTATAAGGATTTCTTATAGTTTCCTTGTATTTCTCTTTTAAAAAAAATGTATTTATTTATTTGAAAGTCAGAGTTACACAGAGAGAAAAGGAAAGGCAGAGAGAGAAAGAGAGGTCTTCCATCCGCTGGTTCACTCCCCAGTTGGCTACAATGGCTGGAGCTGCGCCGATCCGAAGCCAGGAGCTTCTTCCAGGTCTCCCACATGGGTGCAGGGGCCGAAGGACTTGGGCCATCTTCTGCTGTTTTCCCAGGCCATAGCAGAGAGCTGGATAGGAAGTGGAGCAGCCGGGACTTGAACCAGAGCCCATATGGGATACCGGCACTGCAGGTGCTGGCTTTACCCACTATGCCACAGCGCGAGCCCCATATAATGTTTTTTAAAAAGCTACCTAATAGAGAAATGGCTTTCAAGGAAATGCCCCCAAACTCCTCCCGGCTGGCGCAGAGGCTGGATGTGTGAGGAGTTAGGCAGTAATGGCTGGGGGCGACTCCCCTGTGTTTCTGTGACAGCTATGGGGAGAAACCAGTCTAAGGCCTGTCTTGTGCCCTCTGTTTGCTCAGGACTTGTTCTTCAAGTACACCTGGAATAACTTTCTGCACTTCCAAGTGGAGCTCTGTGTCGCCGCTATTCTCTCCCATGCTGCTGCAGGAGCCGGTGGACCTGAAAGCAAGGAGGAGCCTCCGCGTCGGGATGGAAATGCGGTCAGAGATCCGGAGACCCCCCAGCCCGCCACCAGCCTCCCTGAGAACACCATGGTGACCCACGTGAGTCCAGGCCAGCGTCCCACACAAACGGTGTTGACGTTGGGGTTGATGGGTGAGCCGTCTGCATCCACGCTCTGGGCCCTCACTGTCTCCTGGCCCGCACACGGGATGGGCGAGGCTGCGTTCCTTTTGTCCACAAGGACACTAAATGGCAAACAGAATACTCGTTTGCTAGGCCGCAGGTCCAGTGACAGGGAAGGTGGTGGGAGGCAAGAGGAGAGGCAGTGACTGCATCAGCGTGGTCTTGCCTGTGCTGGCTGCAGCTGCAGAGGGGGAGTTGTCCAGTCGCTGGCCAAGAACTCTGCTCCTCTCAGCCGCACTGTGCCTGGGACAGAGCCAGTGTCTCCTGGCTCAGTCCAGGGTTAGGACCATGAACGTGGGAAAAGCAAGCAATGAGAAACATCACAGTCTCATGAGAAAATTTTCTGGGATTTTGGACCTTTGGGAAGTGTTGGGGGGCCGGTGTTTAGCCTAGCAGTCAAGTCCCCCACATCCTGTGTCTGAATGCCTGGATTTGATTCCAGCCCCGGCGAATGCCCACCTTGGGAGGTAGCAGAGATAGCTGAAGGACTTGGGTCCCTGCCAGTTTAGGGAGACTTAGATTAGGTCTCAGGCTCCTGACTTAGCCCAGCCCAGCCCTGGCAGGTGCAGGCCTTGGGGAGCTCTGTCACTCCTGTCAAATAAGTTAAAAGTTACTTTAAAAAATGAGGTGCAGTAGGCTGGTGCTGCGGCTCAATAGGCTAACCCTCCACCTGTGGGGCCGGCACACCGGGTTCTAGTCCCGGTCAGGGCGCCGGATTCTGTCCCGGTTGCCCCTCTTCCAGTCCAGCTCTCTGCTGTGGCCCGGGAAGACAGTGGAGAATGGCCCAAGTGCTTGGGCCCTGCACCCCATGGGAGACCAGGAGGAAGCACCTGGCTCCTGCCTTCGGATCAGTGCGGTGTGCTGGCCGTAGCGACCATTTGGGGGTGAACCAACAGAAAAAAGGAAGACCTTTCTCTCTGTGTCTCTCTCACTGTCCACCCTGCTTGTCAAAAAAAAAAAAAAAAAAAAGAGGTGCAGGGGCAGTGTTGTGGCACAGCAAGTTAAGCCACTTCCTGCCATGCAGTTTCTCGCATGGGCACCGATTCAAGTCCCAGCTGCTCTGCTTCCAGCTGTTAACGTGCCCGGGAAAGCAGTGAAAAATGGCCCAAGTGCTTGAGCCCCTGCACCCACATGGGAAATCTGGAAGTGGCTCCTGGCTCCTGGCTTTGGCCCGGCCCAGCCCTGGCTGTTGCATCCATTTGGGGAGTAAACCAGCAGATGGAAGATCTCCCTCCCTCCCTCCCTTTCTCCCTCTCTCCCTTTCTCTCTCTCTCTCCACCCCCCCCCCAATGTCTCAGACCCCTCCCTCCCTCCCTCTTTCTCCCCCCCAGGAATGTCTCAATGTCTCAGACCCCACCTGTGGCTATGGGAGGGCAGAAACTTGACAAGGGGTCCCTGGATCTCTCTTCAGATGCCTCATGACAGTGGGGTTTGAGGGTCTGGAAGGCCTCACCCCTGCTTGCCCTTGACAGGGGCCCTGGCACTCTGTGTGCGAGCCTCTCAGGGTCACCCCTGCATGGGGTCCAGTGTGATGCACAGTGACTGCCGGGAGAAGCAGCTGGCAGGCGGGTGCTTTTGGTGATGAGAGCCAGGTATCGGGGACAGGGCCTGCAGGGGCCTTCATTGATGTGAGCTAGCTGTGGATGCAGGTGGGGTCCGGATAAACTTGCCAGGTAGAAGAAACAGGAGAGGAGCCAGTGTAGCGCTGCACTGGGTAAGGCTGCACCTGTGATGGCATATGCACGCTGGTTTGAGTCCCGGCTGCTCCACTTCCAACCCAGGTCTCTACTAGTGTGCATGGGAGAGCAGCAGAAGATGGCCCAGTGCTTGGGCCCTGCACCCATGGGACGACTGGGTGGGGTTCCTCAGCAGATGGAAGATCTCCATCTCTCTCTGTGTAACTCTGCCTCTCAAATAATCAAGTCGGAAAGCCAGGGAGAATGCTGGCGGCTCCATCGGCCCTTCTGGACTCTGAGAAAGGGGAGGGCAGGGGAGGACAGAGCGTGTCCTCTCGCCCTGCTCTTCACTTTCAGGGCATTCAGCGCTGTGAGCCTGTGGAGGCCCTGGGCAGGGACCTCAGAAGCTGGCCTGCAAGGATGTCCTGCCCACAGGGTCCGCAGTGCTGATGTGCAGGAGGGGTGGGGTGCAGACCCTCACTCAGCACCTGTCTCCCCAGCTGTTCCAGAAGTGCTGCCTGGTACAGAGAATCCTGGAGGCGTGGGAAGCCAACGACCACACACAGTAAGAGCCCTCCCTCCTGCTGGGCTTCAGAGCTGGCCGGGAGGGAGGGCACAGAACTGGTCAGGAAGGGGCAGCTAGGCAAGTCTCTGCTTCTGAGAGCCCACGCCGGTGTCTGCTCGCCCCCAGCTTGCGCTGGCCTTGTGTGCTTGAGGGTCCCACATCCGAACCTGAACTTCCCCAGGAACCTGGACTCACTCCATTAACACTTACTCACAGGCGTGCATTTTTATCTCAGTCTTTGCACATCTTCCATTGAACCGAGTGCCCCTCTGGGCAGGAAGCTGGTCCTGCCTGTTGTCCTCTGTCAGAGTCCATGTCTGCCCCCACCATGTGCTGTCCTACTGGGAGCGTTGGGCTCTGGGAATGTGGGAGGGGCTCATGGGAGCCCCGAGGGCTCTGAGTGCTGCTGTGGACCTGTCACCTGGACCTGCTTGTGGGACAAGCAAACAGTTCCCCACATGGCTGAGTCCTCAGGCTCGGGCTCCATTCCTGCTGTGCGGCCGCGTCCAGTGGCATCTGGGCCGACACTGTGTGGGCTCTCTCAGTCCTGCAGTCTGGGAGTCGGGCACGGTCAGTGTCAGCAGTGCTCTGTGGTGGGAGTCGGGCACGGTCAGTGTCAGCAGGGCTGCGTGGTGGGAGTCGGGCACGGTCAGTGTCAGCAGGGCTGCGTGGTGGGAGTCGGGCACGGTCAGTGTCAGCAGTGCTCTGTGGTGGGAGTCGGGCACGGTCAGTGTCAGCAGTGCTCTGTGGTGGGAGTCGGGCATGGTCAGTGTCAGCAGGGCTGCGTGGTGGGGGTCAGGCACGGTCAGTGTCAGCAGGGCTGCGTGGTGGGAGTCGAGCACGGTCAGTGTCAGCAGGGCTGCGTGGTGGGAGTCGGGCACGGTCAGTGTCAGCAGTGCTCTGTGGTGGGAGTCGGGCATGGTCAGTGTCAGCAGTGCTCTGTGGTGGGAGTCGGGCACGGTCAGTGTCAGCAGGGCTGCGTGGTGGGAGTCGGGCACGGTCAGTGTCAGCAGTGCTCTGTGGTGGGAGTCGGGCACGGTCAGTGTCAGCAGTGCTCTGTGGTGGGAGTCGGGCACGGTCAGTGTCAGCAGTGCTCTGTGGTGGGAGTCGGGCACAGTCAGTGTCAGCAGGGCTGCGTGGTGGGAGTCGGGCACGGTCAGTGTCAGCAGCGCTGTGTGGTGCTGAGATGGACAGAGACCTGCAGGTGCTGTCTGGACACAGGAATCTGGAGGCAGGGCTGCAGGGTGACGCTGAGCAGGGGCAGGCGGCTAGCAAGGACAGGGCTGGGCGGCCGCCTGATGGTGCCTGTGCTTTCAGGGCAGCAGGTGGCATGCGGCGTGGGAACATGGGCCACCTCACGCGCATCGCCAACGCCGTGGTGCAGAACCTGGAGCGGGGCCCTGTGCAGACACACATCAGCGAGGTCATCCGAGGTGAGCCCTCTGGAGCCCCTGCCCCTTCACAGGGGGAAACCCTGACAGGGAAAGGGCCACGCAACCTCCGTCGTCGTCTGGCCTTCTCCTTGGGTAGGCCTGGTCCTGGGTGGGTCTGAGCACAGCGTGCAGTCTGTGGGTCCCGCACTGGCGCTCAGACCTGCGGGCAGCAAAGCTGTTTTTCAGCTCATGGGCCACCAGAGTCCTCCTGATGCCGCAGTCCTGGCCGCATTTCAGCTTTGCTGTGATCTCGGGCACAAATCTTGGCGGAACCAAGGGAGAGAGTCATGTCTCATCCACAGCAGCAGGCAGTGCCCGAGCCTGGTGTAGCTGGGCAGCCCCATCCTGGGACCTACGCAGAGCAGTAGAGCAGCCCCCAGCGCAGGGCCCTCCCCTGGCCAGGTCCGCTCCTGCCCTCAGCCTGTGCCGTGGCCGCCCCAGGTCCTACTGCTGCCCTCAGCCTGTGCCGTGGCCGCCCCAGGTCCTGCTCCTGCCCTCAGCCTGTGCCGTGGCCGCCCCAGGTCCTGCTCCTGCCCTCAGCCTGTGCCGTGGCCGAGCCAGGTCCTGCTCCTGCCCTCAGCCTGTGCCGTGGCCGCCCCAGGTCCTACTGCTGCCCTCAGCCTGTGCCGTGGCCGCCCCAGGTCCGCTCCTGCCCTCAGCCTGTGCCGTGGCCGCCCCAGGTCCTACTGCTGCCCTCAGCCTGTGCCGTGGCCGGGCCAGGTCCTGCTCCTGCCCTCAGCCTGTGCCGTGGCCGCCCCAGGTCCTACTGCTGCCCTCAGCCTGTGCCGTGGCCAAGCCAGGTCCTGCTCCTGCCCTCAGCCTGTGCCGTGGCCGCCCCAGGTCCGCTCCTGCCCTCAGCCTGTGCCGTGGCCGCCCCAGGTCCTGCTCCTGCCCTCAGCCTGTGCCGTGGCCGAGCCAGGTCCTGCTCCTGCCCTCAGCCTGTGCCGTGGCCGCCCCAGGTCCTGCTCCTGCCCTCAGCCTGTGCCGTGGCCGGGCCAGGTCCTGCTCCTGCCCTCAGCCTGTGCCGTGGCCGCCCCAGGTCCTGCTCCTGCCCTCAGCCTGTGCCGTGGCCGCCCCAGGTCCTACTGCTGCCCTCAGCCTGTGCCGTGGCCGAGCCAGGTCCTGCTCCTGCCCTCAGCCTGTGCCGTGGCCGCCCCAGGTCCTACTGCTGCCCTCAGCCTGTGCCGTGGCCGGGCCAGGTCCTGCTCCTGCCCTCAGCCTGTGCCGTGGCCGCCCCAGGTCCTGCTCCTGCCCTCAGCCTGTGCCGTGGCCACCCCACGCCTCCTGCGTGCCCTCCAGTCCTCAGCACATGCGGTTGTGGTCATGGTCACGTGCCATGAGCTTTGTCTGAGCTGAGCAGGGGAGGTCCGGTTTGGCCTTCCTGAACAAGAGGACCCTGGAAAACCTGCATGGGGTGACTTTGGAGAAGCCAGGAAGTAGGGTGTGTGGGGGTGGATGGCACCTTGAGGTCAAGACCGCAAGTTTGCTGGCAGGCAGCCGTCATACCTGCTGTACCCAGACGGGGCCAGGCCTTGGGTGAGACCTGGCCAGGTGTGGGGGACCTGGCCCCTCATTCTGGGGCTGCATTTCCCACTGGAGGAGAGGGGAAAGTCTCACTGCTGGGGGGTCGTGTGGGTGCTGCTGGCCCAGGGCAAGCCTTGGCACAGCAGGCTAAGTCAGTTGCACACTGCGTCTCTGGGGCTCCATGTCAGGCAGACAGACCTGCGCTGGCCTGCTGGTGTCTGGGCTGCTGCCAGGCCTGCCAGGTGGGCGCAGCAATCAGGTGCTGGCAGGTTCTGCTCGGGATTCCTCAGTAAACTTGGGACTGTGCCTGCCAAGCTCTCAGGACAAGACGGCTCCAGCCTCAGTGGCCCCGAGGCCCTACGGGGCTCCCAGGGACAGTGGCCTCCTTCTTGTCAACAGGCACTGCACTGGGCCTTCAGGTGGGCTGACCACAGCAGCACAGCCCTGTCGGGACTCCTGGGTGCCCGCTTGGGGTCCCCAAGGCTCACCTGGCAGCACTTGCTTTGCAGGGCTCCCTGCGGACTGCCGCGGCCGCTGGGAGAGCTTTGTGGAAGAGACCCTGGTGGAGACCAACCGCAGGAACACCATGGATCTGGTGAGGGGCTCGGCTGCGCCCGCGGCCATGGCCTAGAACGCCTCCCCCTGCAGCTCAGGCTGAGGGAGGCCTGAAGGCAGCTCTGCTCTGGGCCACACCTCCGTGCCTGCCTCATGTGCACGTGTCCACGTGTGCCCCGGAGAGTGGTGCAGCCACTACCCATGTCCATAGCACGGCCCCCACCCTCCCTCATCAGGAGCTGTTACTGCCCTGGGGAGCCTGGGCTTTCCCTCGGCCTTGACCTCACCTGGGCACCTCCTTCCATGCCCAGAGATCTGACAAGCACCAGGCTGGACTAGGCAAGACCCCTGGGGCACTGGGCCATGCTGGGTGTGGTCTGGGGTGCCAGTGGCTCACATGCCCACCCTGTCTGGCCTGTTTTAGGTGGGCACTCACCACCTTCACTCCTCAAGCGAGGACGAGGACATTGAGGGCGCTTTCCCTAACGAGCTGTCCCTTCAGCAGGTGAGGGCGTGGCCGGCACTCTGCACCCTGCCGGGCCCTTCCCACGCCGTGTGCACTCAGCAGTGCTCCATCCTCTAGGCTTGGCCTAGTGGCATCTCGCTCCTCCCCCAGCACATGTCGGGGAGAGGAGGATCTGGGGGAGACCCCCAGAGTCACTGTACCTTGAAGAGACTATTGGGGTGCACAGTGCACACACACGAGTTTGCCCAGAATCTCTGAACGTCAGAACCCGGAACCCACTGTGCTGGAAGGAAGCTCCCTGGCTTGCCCAGGGGCAGCCTCAGGTCTCAGGCTGCTCCTGACGGGCCCTGCCCTCCCAGGCCTTCTCCGAGTACCAGATACAGCAGATGACGGCCAACTTCGTGGATCAATTCGGCTTCAACGATGAGGAGTTTGCAGACCAGGACGACAACATCAGGTGAGTCCAGCCAGACCCCCGGGCCAAGGCATGATTTCCTGTGCCACTCAGGTCCCTGGAGTCAGCTGCCCATGGTCCTGCCCTGGGTCCCTAAGGGGACAGCATATGTTGCCCAGTCCCGTGAGGCTGGAAGGAGGCTAACAGGGTCCCCTTGCTCTTGTAGCGCCCCGTTCGACAGGATTGCAGAGATCAACTTCAGCATCGACGCTGAGGAGGACAGTGTGAGTGCGTGTGTGCCCAGACAGCTAGGTGGTGTCCCTGGCTGGTGAGAGGTGGACGGGGGGCACGGGGAGCCCTGAGCCAGCAGGGCAGGTGTAGCAGGGCTGGACGTGCCCCTCCTCGGGAGTCCAGGACGGCGCCGCCTACCTTGCCTTCCCACCCTGCCCTCCCACCAGCTAGAGGTTCTGTGTCCTTGAGCCAAGGCCTCTAGAAACCACGTGGAGCCAGGGCCTCCCACCTCCCAGAAACCAGCCTCCACGTTCTGTCTTGCAGCCCAGCGCGGCTCTGTTTGAGGCCTGCTGTGGTGACCGCATCCAGCCCTTTGATGACGATGAGGAGGAGGACATCTGGGAGGATCAAGAGACTCGCGGTGCCACCCGGGTGATGGCCAGAGCCAGGTGTGGGGCCCTCCTGTCCCCTGGGGCCTGTGCTGAGGGGTGCAGCCGCCCTGCTGTGCTGCTCACGCCGGCTCCAGGGGAGTTCGGGGGCCTGCAGAGGCATGGGACCCTTCCTGTGGAGGCGGGGCCATCACTGGCTCTCCAGTGTCCGCTGTCCATCCTGGACACCAAGCGTGTCACTGCGTGTCCTCCAGGTTTGGTGCCCCCCTCGCCGCAGACAGCTGCTCCAAGAAGGATCTGGAGCACAGAGGCCGAGAGAGGAAGGTGGACTGGGAAGCAGATGGGGACGCACCTGCGGCAGGCACTGCCTCGGCCCCTGCCCCTGCACAAAACAAAGGCCTCCCCCTGCAGGGTGACTCAGAAGGTAGTGCTGGGAGCTCGGTGGGCGGGGGCAGGGGTGTTGGGACAGGACGTGGTGTCCTGGCCTGTGCATTGCAGGGATTTCATGGGCATGGATGGATGCGTCTTGGATGGGCTGTGGCCTGGAGCCTGCAGCCACCTGCACTTGGCTCCACGCAGACACTGCTGGAGGGAGCGGCTCTCCCAGCTGTGCTGGATGGGCTGCACTTCCCCACCCCAGCCATAGCTGACAGCCCCCCAGTTTCTTTTCCTTTTTTTTTTTTAATTATTTTATTTATTTGAGGGGCCGGTGTCGTGGCTTACTTGGCTAATCCTCCACCTGCGGTGCCGGCATCCCATATGGCACTGAGTTCTAGTCCCGGTTGCTCCTCTTCTAGTCCAGCTCTCTGTTGTGGCCCAGGAGGGCAGTGGAGGATGGCCTAAGTGCTTGGGTGCCTGCACCTGCGTGGGAGACCAGGAGGAAGCACCTAGCTCCTGGCTTCGGATCGGCACAGCGCTGGCTGTAGCGGCCATTAGGGGAGTAAACCAAGGGAAGGAAGACCGTTCTCTCTCTCTCTGTCACTGTCTATAACTCTCTCTGTGTATCCAAGTCTTCCTGGCAAAAAAAAAAAAAAAAAAAAAAAATTTCATTTATTTGAATGTCAGAGTTACACAGAGAGAGGAGAGGCAGAGAGAGAGGTCTTCTGTTCACTGGTTCACTCCCCAACTGGCCACAATGGCCAGAGCTGAGCTGATCCGAAGCCAGGAGCCAGGAGCTGCTTCTGGGTCTCCCATGTGGGTGCAGGGGCCCAAGGACTTGGGCATCTTCCACTGCTTTCCCAGGCCATAGCAGAGAGCTGGATGGCAAATGGAGCAGCCGGACTCAAACCGGTGCCTGTATGGGATGCTGGCACTGCAGGTGCCGGCTTCACCTGCTACGCCACCATGCTGGCCCCTTCCCAGTTCCCACCGGGGAGGTTTGTCTCCACAGCCTGGCCATCCCCAGTGCAGCCCACCCCACACCTTCCACCTCGGGAGACCCTTGCTCACCTCAGTCCTGGGGTGGTGCCAGGCCCTCAGGCCACATGGAGAGCTGTGTGGCCAAACCAGGAGGGCAGCCATGCATGAGGCCAGGGAAGGGGCAGTGGTGCCTGGCCAGCTGCCCCGCCTTAGCCGTTCAGTCCTGGATCAGGACGGATGGGGCAGGGTGTGCAGCCGCTGCCATAACATGAATGTCAGTGGTGCGGAAGCCAGAGGAGGGTTTGCCCACAAGTGCCTGACCGAGCTCCACATCAGAAGGCACCCAGCGAATCCACCCTTGACCGCTGCATCCCTCCAGCAGGCACAGCGTGGATGGCGGTGTTCGATGAGCCCGCGGCCCCAGGAGTGGCGCGAGACGTGGGTTCCAGCGTGTGGGCAGCCGGCGCTGCAGCTCCAGAGGAGAAAGGCTGGGCCAAGTTTGCTGACTTCCAGCCTTTCTGCTGGTAACGGATGCATTCAGGGGTCGCCCTGTAGCACAGCTGAGGTCAGGCAGCCGCGTCCCTCAGAGCTCAGCCTGTCCTTGTCCTCTTTGCAGCTCCGAGTCGGGGCCTCGGTGCAGCTCTCCCGTGGACACGAACCACAGCTGTGCTGAGGGCGCCAAGAGCCAGGGCCAGGAGCAAGCCTGTGAGTAGGGGCGGCTCCAGCAGGGGTCCTAGCCTCGCCCAGGCCGGCCCCACCGTGGGGACAGGGGGAGGAGGCAGCCAAGGCCCTAGATGTGACCGTGTCACCATGATGATGGGGGTTTGTGTGCATGTGTGCACTTGAGGCTGGAGCAGCCATGTGCAACTAGGGCGACTCCCCCAACCCGGGGGATGCACAGGAAGGGCAGCAAGCCATTGGTCTGTCCAGGCTCACGGCCAGGTGTGCAGCCTGCATCTTGGACAGCAGCATTAGGGTTCTAGTGAGGAGTGCGTGGACAGGCCATCAGCATGTGCACACTTCCGTTCCAGTGTTGGGGTCCTTTGGGCTTGAAGGTGCCTATGGTAGGGCCACAGAGGCAGAGGGGCCCCTCTGAGAACAGAGCATGGCTGCCATCTTGTGGGGTGGGCACCCCAGGTGTGAGAGCCCATCCTGCCGGCTCCACGTGTGCAGGCAACAACACGCGGCAGGTGCCACACACGGACCCACGCCAGTCTGGGGGACTGCACCGCTGCCCTCGCCCACTGTTGAAGGCCTCTCTGTCTGCTGCAGTCAGCCCGGCGTCCCCGTGCGCCTGGAACGTGTGTATCCCCAGGAAGGGCCCCCTGATGGCCTCTGACAGCAGCTCCTCGGGCTCCAGCGGCGAGGACAAGCAGCAGAAGGCGATTGGTGTCGTGGAAGCCGCGAGCACGGGCCCTGGCTGGGAGACCTCCTTACTGCCCAGGACAGAGGCGGCTGCTGTTGGCAGGTGTGCAGGGGCGTGGCAAGCCCGCCCAGGGCCCCTGAGTGCACAGAGGAGGTTTCCAGGCTGCGGGCAGCTGGCTCATCCCTAGCTCTTGGCTCCCCTGGGAGCGAGCTGGGGCTCTGACTGCCGCCTGGTGGCCTGTGAGCTGCACACGTGGCTCTAGAGAGTGACACACACAGTGGAGGCTGTGGGGAGGGAGGAGGAAGGGCTCCTTCCGTGGACACTCTGGAGTGGTGCAGGAGACAGCTCCCACCACACAAGCCCTGACTGCCAAGGACAAGCCCAGCTCTGGGGGTAGGTTGGGCTGAGCCACCCAGAACGGGGTTCCCCTGGATGGTGCAGGGAGGAGCACCCCATGGTCTTTGACTTCATTGTCCAGCAGGCTGTCTGGTGGGCTTGCCCAGGCTCGGTCTTGCCGATCCCTTAACCCAGACACCTAGGAAACACCCGTTGAGCTTGGGCCAGGGAACACACACCATCTGAGGACTATGCTATGGCACCCAAACCTCAGCTGGGAGCTGGGGGCAGCTTCACAGGTGGGCAGAGGCCAGTCTTGCCCAAGAGCCAATCTGTGGGGGCGCAGAGGCTGGGGCCTGCTGGTCCCTGATACAGGCCCCTCGCAGGCAGAGGGTGGGTGAGCATCAGGAGCTGGGTGCCGGAGACAGGAAGTTGTTTGCAGGAGGGCAGGTTGGCTGAGGTGGGTGTCAGGGTCAGAGACAGCTGAGGAGACGGTGAGACTGGGGGCTGAAGGGGTGGAGAGGGTGTACCTGGCAGGCTCAGAGTGAGGACACCTGTCTGTCCTGGACCCCACAGAGCACGAGGTGTCAGCCACACAGGTATGTCCAGGGAAAACACTGCATCCATGCTGGTGAACGGCACCTGTGGGCTCTTGAGCCATCGTCCCTGAGTGCACCTGGCTGAGGTCTGGAAGGCTCTAGAAGGGGTGCGAGGGTGCCTGTCACCTAGTGTGACCCTGCCCTCGTGGGCGGGGAAGGCCCTGCTTACTCGTCTTGCCCCGTGGTACTGGAGCTACAGGGGTCTCCCCAGCCAGCCTTCATGCTCATCACCCAGCTGGACGCGTCCTGGCCAGCAGTCCAGCTTGGGCTCACATTCTCACCACCTGGGCTTGCCACTTGGCGCGGGGCCCAGGCTTAGAGCCCATGTTGCAGGAGCCCGACAGGGCATGGCCTGTGTGGCCACCGACAGCCCAGGGGAGGCGAGCTGAGGCCCCAGTCTCCCTTGACACTGGGTCGGTGAGACGATGACGGGGACCCGGGCCACAGCCCCTTGGGTCCAGCGTGCGGGAGGCTCCCGAGTGGGCTGGGAACCCCTGGCGTTCCTGGGCCTTTGCGCTCTCCCTAAGTATTTCAAGAACAGCTCAGCTCCGGTCCATAAAGCAGATCCTGTTCTGCCAAGTGCGCAGACTTCTCCCACAGGCAACTGCACAGAACCACAGCCGACCTGGCGGTGAGCCCCTCCCCAGGCCGCACGTCTTGTGCCCTTGTCCTACAGCAGGCCAGCGGCCCCGGCTTGCTGGCGGTGGCTAGCCTGCACCTTTGGGTGTCTGACCACTCCCAGAGCAGACCGCCTAAATGCCAGCAGGTCCCCCACTGAGTTGAGATCACAGCAGAAGTAGCCCAGGCCCTCAGAGAATGACCAGGTGCTCTCTGGCAGGTGGCTGGAGGTCCGCTTGTCCTGGCGTTGGCCAGTTGGGTGGCACAGCCGCCTGGCTGGGCATAGCGCCGCGGCCACCTCCCAAGGGCAGGAGCAGGAAGGTGCCACGGGCAGTGCTCCCAGGCCACTTCTGGACCAACCCCCTTGCCGTCCTCATGCTCCAGAGGTTGGCTGGCATTGACCAGAGCCCACGTCTGTCACGCAGGACCCAGTGTGTCGACAGCAGACCGCCAGACCCCACGTGCCCTGCACCCGTGGAGATAACCAGGGCCCCAGCTGTGGCTGCCCCAACTGTCTCTTCTGCAATGGCTGTGGTGGTCACCACAGCAGCCCCAGCAGTGGCGGCTGACCTGGGGACAGTGACAAAGGACAGGTGAGCAGGTTGGGCAAGGAGGGCACGATGGGGCTGGACGCAGGCCCCGGTAGTTCCAACCCTGCTCCCGTTCCTGCAGGGAGACAGACACCCCGCCCGAGGGAGCTGCCTTGAACGGGCCCGTGTGACGCTGCTGTCGCCCGGCCAGGGCCAGCCCTTGGTCAGGCTGAATCCTTAATCAAGAAAACTACCTGGTGATGCAATTTTTTAATTTAATTTAACTTTAAAATAAATGCTGCATTGGTGAAACTGGTGGTTGGAGCCAGTAAGACCCAACTTTCGTCTTTTCTACCTGACCCTGAGTAGGGCCTTAGGAGGACAGGATGGACCTGGTCACCCCCAGCCCAGGCCCCGAGCACAGCAATAAGGTCTTAAGGAGTTGGGAGCCAGGGGTCGTGACCACAGGCACCACCAGGACCCAAGGGCGGCAGAGGCATGGGCCGCAAGGTTCCGTTCACTTTTCTTTTTTAAATAAGCAAATACAGGAAGAGCTGGATTTTCTGCGCTTTGTACCGACTTGTAGCCGGGGTCTCCCCTGGCTCAGAGCAGAGGTAAGAGAAGGTTGGGAAGGGCCAGGACCCACAATCAGAGCTGGTTTGGCCTTGTGGGGTCAGACTGTGGGCTGCAGTTGTCCTGAGGCCCTGGGAGCTGGCCCTGAACCAGAATGCAAAACTCGACTGCCTTAACAAAAACAGGCCCTGGAGGCCTACTGGGGGCACCACCCAGGTCAGGCAGACATGCTTGGGTGGGTGGGTGCGTGGTGGTACCTGGCAAGAGGGGATGCAGTACTGTCTTAGTCGTGCCGGGCAGGGCACTGTCTCCCGGAGGGTCTGAGTGGTCATTTTATGTTGAGTCCATTCCTAATGTGCTCGTCTGACAGGGCAAGCCCCCAACTCCCAATAAAAGCTGTCATTCGCACAACCTGTGTATGGTTAAGGTGAAGCGGCAGGCAGGCCCTGGAGGCCCAGCCAAGCTGAGGGGTGGGGCTATCTCCTCCAGCCCCTTTGCTGCACCCCCCTCCACCCCCCACCCCTGCCGACACATCCCTGGTCACGAGGGAATGAGTCTAATTTCTGAAAGAAGCTGAACTCTTCTCTATGCAGAAAGAAACGCCTGAACCTTAGGAGCCAAGTGCATCCCCAGAGAGCAGGTGCAGCCGAGGGCGCTGTCCCCAGGGCTCCACCCCCCCATGCAGCTCCCTTCTGCTCTTGGAACTCCAGAACCATCGTGTGCCCTGACTAGGCGAGAGGGACAGGGGGACACCGGACCCACGGGAGGGGCTCCTTCCTGCCATCCTCTGTGGGTCCCACACGCCCCCAGCTCTTCTCCCCCGACATCGGGAAGGCAGTCAGGGTTCTCCTCCTCACTGCAGATGTCATGGGTGCTGGGAGCCTGGGTCAGCGCCCAGCCACGTAGGCTGCAGGGAGACCACTCCCGCACGACAGCCACAGGACAGCGCTGGAGCTCATGGGAGTTCAGGGTCATTGTTGGCTCCAGCCGCCCAACAGCTAAGGCTCAGAGACCTCCCCTTCGTGCCCCCAGGCCAGTCAGCAGCTGCCCTCCCCTCGTCCATGCCTGCTCAGCCCTGCTGCAGAGGTCAGCCTGCAGCTGCATGTCCCACACTGACAGGTCCTGTCTGGCTAGTTCCCCAGCGGCCACCCAGCACCTGTCCTAGGTGAAGCCTAGTCCTGGGTGGGCTCACATCAAGGAGGGCAGTCACAGCCACAGAAACCACAAGGGCACCCCGAGAACCGGAACCCCGTCAGGTTGCCACGGGCATCACCCCGAGCTCTGCCAGGCACCCCCATGCCGCGAGGAACCTCTCCCCACCACTCCCTGGGAACCAAGCAAGCCTCCCACCAGCTCACTTGTCTGACCAGGGACCAGCCAGCTCCACGACCTGCATGCTGAACTGCCCCCCCCCACGACCCCCTGTGGCTTCCCTGACGCCAGCTTCCACCCTAGAGGCCGTCCCCTCCATCCCTGTCAGGCCCGGAGGAATGAGGTGGCCATGCAGGCTGGGGAGATGGGTGGGTCCAGGTAGCAGGGAAGGCCCATGGGGACGACATCACCTTTCTGGGCAGACTGAAGACTTGCAGGGCCACAGGCTCACGGAGGGGCGGGGGACGTGGGTGAGGCAGGCACGGGAACACATCGTTAGTTCTCTTTATATAGACTCTGGTTCTAGAAACAGTTCACCTGCGGCCGGCCGGCCGGGGCCAGCACACTGACAGGGCTGGGCTGGGTGGACTATTTACAGGCCCGTCTTGGGGCTGTACCATGGCTGCCTCTCGCACAACACTCAGCCACAATGCCTCAATAAGTTAGCGCCGGCCGGGCGGTGGGGGGCTCCTGGAGGGGGAGGGGACTGTACACACAAGTGCTGGGGGCTCGGGGCCTCAATACTGTCGAGGGCCGGGGCTGTAAACATGGCCGGGGCGGCCCTGCCCACCCCTAGTGGTCTGTAACGACTGGAAGCAGAGCAGCCCGGGCAGGGCCGGGAGGATCAGGCGTCTGACAGGCAGCTCTGGATCCGGTCCACCCACTGCTGGGCCGAGGGCACGTCCTGGGCACAGAAGTTGTAAACGCGACGCGTCGTCTTCACCTGGGGAGGGGCGGGTCGCTGACTCCACGGCCCCCCCGCACCATGGACAGCCCCTCCCCCTCCACCCCCGGCCCCAGCCTGGGCTCACGTCAAAGAAGGCCTTCTCATCCACGGTCTTGGGGGCGCCCATGGTGGGCGTGCCAGGCGCCACAGCCTCCACTTCGGCCAGGTCAATGACACCCTTGCACTCCGTGTCCACGCGGTGGTCGTAGTAGCGCAGCTGGGGGGGGGGGGTGGAGTCAGGGTGGCCCATCCCCCACCTGCCTCCCCCTCTCCCTACTGGGCACTTACCTGGTGCTTGGTTTTGTCCAGCACAAACCAGCGGGCCTTCCAGGGCTTCATGAAGGCCCCCTTCTTGTACAGGGTGCCCTCGTAGGACCTGTGTCGGCAGCAGAACCCGCCCCAGGCCGGCCATCAGGGAGCAGCCAGGCCAAGGCGGTCCCTGGGCTACAGGCTTCCCCACAGGTCAGAGGGTAAAGGGTGTCCCACACCACGGCCAGAGGAGGCACACACAGCAGACGACCAGGACGGCACAGCCCTCTTCAGGCTCAAGGGGTCGAACGGGTCCTGCTGGGCTTGGCCTCAGCTACCGCCTGCCCTGGCCTCATGGGTACCCCACAGCCCCGTGCCTCTGCTCCTCCAGCCACTGCAGCCTGGCTGTGATCACCAGTTCTGGATCCCAATCCCAAGCGTTTGCTCACGCTTGGGCCTCGGCCATGGCCTTCCCCACAGATCTGTCCACCCTCAGAAATGACCAGAGCACCCTAAAGGCACCCGTGCCCCCAACCTGGGGAGTGCCAAGGCCCCAGGCCCTCGGCTCAGAAGCGTCCGTGCAGCGGTGGCAGGCTCCCCACCTGTTCTCACTCTCAGCTGTCTGGAACTGGCTGTACAGGGTGCTGGTGCTGCGGCGGGCGGCCTGCCGGGAACTTGATGCAGTTGAGCCACTGCTCTGGTCACTGTCCAGGCTGAGGCTCAAGGTGGAGCCCACAGGCCCCTCCTGCAGGTACACACCCAGCGAGCGGCGGTGGTGGGGCACACTGGACACCAGCAGGGAGCTGGGGGTGGCCTGGGGACGGGAGGGTGGGGTCTGGGTCAGGGCTGGGCAACCTCTGCGGCCACTCTGGGACACACCCACCCTGTCTGCCCCGCCCCCACTCACACGCCCATCTGGGCGGCCTTCAAGGCGCTGTGCAGCCTTCACGCGGTCCCAGGTGTCCTTCCAGCGCTCAGGGGAGCGGCCCAGCTCCGTCTCCAGCCGCTGCAGCTCCTGGGAGAAAACGGGAACCACAGGTTATTCACAAGAAAACAGCTAGAGGGGAACACGAAGACAGGAGGCCAGAAAGCAACAGAAAAGAGATTCAATGAATATGTGTTAACTGGAGTGTAGACAGCAAGAGTGAGGTTAAGAGAAGTCGAGAAACTGCCCAAACCAGGCGCTGGTGCTGTGGCGTTGATAAAGCCACCGTCTGCAGTGCCGGCATCCCATATGGGCACTGGTTCGAGACCCAGCTGCTCCACTCCTGATCCCACTGTCTGCTATGGCCTGGGAAAGCAGAAGATGGCCCAAGTGCTTGGGCCCCTGCACCCACGTGGGAGACCCGAAGAAGCTCCTGGCTTCAGATCGGCGCAGCTCTGGCCATTGCGGCCATCTGGGCAGTGAACCAGCAGATGGAAGACCTCTCTGTCTCTCCCTCTCTGTAACTCTGCCTTTCAAATAAATAAGTTTTACCAAAAAAAAAAAAAAAAAAAGAACTCTTAAGAAACATTCCCCAAACCAGATGTGTCAAATGACATTGTACAGACCCTAACAGGCCGGTCAGCGGACACACACACACACACACACACACACGTTTCAGGAAAACCAAACAGAAGTAAAAAGACACATTCTCTCCCAAAGAACAAATGGGAAACTGGGGGACAGATCGCTGACTTGTCTCCACACGCAGCCAGGACCGACGTGAGCAGGAAGCAGCTGTCTCAGGACCACGCAGGTAAGCCCTACAACCGCCCGGCACCCTGTCTGGGGCCCTGCTGAGTGAGAGGGCAGAGGTGTGAGCTTAGGGACACCTCGCAGGCAGGTCACAAGGCAGCGCTAGAAACCCACAGGAGGCCCAGTGAAGCTGCCGGGTGCGGGCAGCAAGGCCTGGAGAGGACAGGCGGCTCCACGATGCTGGAAGGTGAGGAGTCCCAGACAGCCAGAGCCACAGCCGTGCGGTGAGGGTCCCCCCTCCACTGTGAGGCGCCGGGGGGTGAGCTGGGGCAGCACGGCAGGTTACGCTGCCGCCCACACAGCTGCTCCACGGTGATCCCGCTCCCTGCAAAGGAGCCCCGGGAACCAGCGGAAGGTGGCCCGGTGCTTGGGCCCCTGCCGTCCACGTGGGAGACTCCAGCCTGGCCCCGCCCTGGCCATTGCACCACTGGGGAGTGAATGAGCAGACTGGAGACTCTCTCCCTCTCTGTAACTTCCTTTTAAATTAAAAAAAAAGAAAAAAAAATGGTGGGAATTTCATCTGACAAACGGGGGCCTTTGGGAGGCGATCGGACCAGGTGGGCCCTTGGGGCTGGCGCCGTGGCACGTCCCCTCCGTGCCCCTCCCTGCTGACGTGCCCAGGGGGCAGCAGACGGGTGCCCAAGGACTCAGGGTAAACTGAGAGTCTGGGTGGATAGCTGCCGTGGCCATCTGGATAGTGCCCAGCAAACGGAACATTCGCTCCCCCGTCCCCTCTCTGACACACAAAATCAGAATTTCACATATACCAATCAATCTTTGGAGGGAAAGAAGCAGAGACAGGAGACGTGCATGGCCCATTATCTTCTGTGTGATGCCCTGGGCTGCCTTGGGACTCCACCAGCAAGGGCACCGGCACACAGGCGCTCAGCCTTGCACCTGACCCGGGAGCCAAGGTAAACCCTTGCCCGGCCTCGGGTCCCTGGAAATGGCAACTTCGACTGCAACCCTGCAGGCGCTCTGCCTTAGGAGTGCTCCTCACAGAGCTCAGAAGCCTGGCAAAGACCACCCTAAAGGACGCAGGGCGCGCACGGTCCAGCTTACAGCAACTGACCAGAGAAGCAAAGCGGCAGGCACACGTTAAGACACAGACCCAGAAATGAAGCACACAGCACACACAGGAAATTTGCAACAGTCACTATCCATGTGTGTTTCAAGACTTAAAGATGAACATAAGGATTAAATGAAGAATTTTTACAGAATTTTTTAAAGATTTTATTTACTTGAGAGGTAGAGTTACAGACGGGGAAAGACACAGAGAAAGATCTTTCATCTGCAGGTTCACTCCCCAAATGACCGCAACAGCAGGAGCTGGGCCAGTCAGAAGCCAGGAGCTGCTTCTGGGCCTCTCACACGGGTGCAGGGGCCCAAGCACTTCTACTGCCTTCCCAGGCCACAGCAGAGCTGGATCAGAAGAAGAGCAGCTGGGACAGGAACCAGCACCCACATGGGATGCCAGTGCCACAGGGGTTGGCTCAGCCCCCTACACCACAGTGCCAGCCCCCAAAACTATTTTTAAATAGAACAAATAGGGGCTGGCAGGGTAGGCTATGCCTTGTGATGCCAGTGTATCATACCAGACGGCCAGTTCAAGTCCCAGCTGCCCCACTTCCAATCCAGCTCCCTGCTAATGCTCCAGGGAAAGCAGTGGATGAGGGTACAAGTCCTTGGGCCCCTGCACCCACATAGGAGGCCTGGAAGAAGCTCCTGGTTTCTGGCTTCAATCTGGCCTAGCCCTGGCCGTTTTGGGGAGTGAACCACCTCTCCCTCTCTAACTCTGCCTTTCTAATAAATTAAATAAATAAATAAGAGTACAATTAATACATTTTCAGAGAACAAAAGCTGAGGAATCTGTGCCGCAAACCTGCGTTGTAAGAAAAACATTTTAAAATTTATTTATTGGGGCCAGTGCTGTGGTACAGCGGGTAAAGCTACTGCCTGCAGTGCCGGCCTCCCATTTGGGTGCCAGTTTGAGTCCCGGCTGCTCCATTCCGATCCAGCTCTCTGCTGTGGCCTGGGAAAGCAGTGGAGGATGGCCCAAGTCCTTGGGTCCTTGCACCCGCGTGGGGAGACCCCAAGAGACTCCTGGCTCCTGATCAGCGCAGCTCCAGCCATTGCGGTCAACTGGGGAATGAACCAGTGGATGGAAGACCTCTCTCTCTCTCTTTGCAGCTCCTTCTCTTTGTAACTCTGCCTTTCAAATAAATAAATAAATAAATCTTTTTTAAAAATCATTTATCTATTTGGAAAGAGAATGCAGAGAAAGAGAGTTCTCCCATTTCATGGCCGTAACAGCCAGAGCTGGCCCAGGCCAAAGCAAGAAGCCAGAAACGCCGTCCTCCTCCTGGCGTGGGGAGGCCCTGCAGTGCATGGCGCCGTCACTTGCTGCTCCCACACCAGCCCGAGAGTGTGACAGGTGTTCGGTGCAGGTGTGAGATGCCGGGCGGGACGCCCACATTCCAAACTGGAGTGCCCGGGTTCAAGTCCCGGCTCTGCTTGATCCCAGCTCCAGCTGAGCCACCTTGGCCCTGCCACCCACGAGGGAGACCCGGACGGTGTTCCTGGCTCCTGGCTCTACCGTGGGCATTCGGCAGTGGAAGCTCCCTCCCGACACAAGTACACGCTGTAAGTTCTCGTGTGTGAACTGCTGTGTTGAAAATAAACTACAATTGCCGTCCCGGGAGACCACTAGGAAAACAGCAAACACAGAGGTACTGCTCAAAGTACATAAGACTGAGTACCAACAACACAATTTCAGACAGAAAAAGGGGGAAAAGGAGCAAAAAATAAATGGGTGAAATCAACAAGGTGCTATCCTTAAGCCCAACCCTATCAACAACTACATTAATTGTAATTCAACTAAAAATCCTAAGACAATCAGATTAGGCAAAAAGAAGACCCAAATCCTGTTACAAAGACCCAGACGAGTCAAAAACAGAAGTATCGGCACCGACAGGCTGCGCGGATGCTGTCCTGGGAAAGCTGACCCAGCCTCGCAGGCCAGCAGCACCAGAGACAGAGGGACTTGTGGGTGCCTGTGGGCCACCCTCAGGCACAAAACCACGACCCCATGCTCCCCCAAACCCCTGGATGCTCAGTGCCTCTGGGCCTGGCCCCACGCCGCGCCATCAAAATACGTTCCACCTCCCACAAGGCATCAGTCAGCACCCCCGCTGCCCACACCAGCGAACAGAAGCCCTGAGGCCCTCAGATGACGGCCAAGGCCACACAGCCAGCGTCAGGGAGCGGAGCACAGACCCTGCTGAGCTCTGCACCTGGGGACCGACCGCGCAGGTACAGAAGGGGCACCCTCTCAACGGCAACACACACCAGCACCAAATAGCCCTGCACTGGGCTCCTCTGCTTCCCAGGGGTCTCCTGATTCCGGAGCCTGAGCAGACGCGCCCACCACCGCCCGCAGGGCGAGAGCCCACCACCGCCCGCAGGGCGAGAGCTCACCACCGCCCGCAGGGCGAGAGCCCACCACCGCCCGGAGGGCGAGAGCCCACCACCACCCGCAGGGCGAGAGGCCACCACCGCCCACAGGGCGAGAATCCACCACCGCCCGCAGGGCGAGAGCCCACCACCGCCCGCAAGCTGCCAGGACAAGCGCCCAGAAGCACAGCGGCTCACGTGGAGGGGTGGGGGTGGTTCTGGGAGATCCGTGCTCCCTCGGGGCTGAACCCAGGGTGGTGCCTGGGCCTCTGAGAGCCAGAGCAGAGGGGCATCCCGCGTGACCCTGCACACACCCACCCAGCCGGCCCTGGCCGCCCGCCGTGCTGACACCGGAACGCGCCCCACCCACGCCATCTGGTCCACACGTTACCTCCAGCAGGCGTGAGATGGCATCGGGCTGGGCACGGGGGCGGCTGTCGTAGCACGGCCACACCACACGGCGCCTGCTCTGGGGAGCGCTTCCGTCAGGCCGTTCCTCCTCGGGGGGCTCGGGGGGGCCCTGGGCCAGTTCCCAGTCATAGGGCGGGCCCTCAGCCAGTGTCTCCTCCGTGTAGAAGTCCCACACCTTCAGGTTGGACACGTTGCTGTAGGGCCGCAGGACCTGGGGGCAGGGCTGGCACTGAGCACCCGGGGCACCAACGGCCGGCCAGCCGCCCTGCCCGACCGGGCCCCGGCTCACCTCCGTGTCCTCAGGCGCGTACATGTAGTTGTAGAACACGGGTGTCCTCTTGCTGAGTCGCTCCACGTACTCCCACACGGACCTGCAGGCCAGCTGGCCCCTGCGCTCCCCCTTCTCCTCGTACAGCAGCCCTGCAGGGGGCAGCGCTGAGCCCGAGCCCTGCCAACCAGCCGCCGTCCCAGGTCCCGCCCACATACCCAGCTCAATGCGCTCGTAGTCCGAGTCCAGCAGGAAGGTGCGGAAGCGCCGGGAGGTGTGGTGGTAGCCGAGGAACTTGAGGTAGAACTGGCTGAACTCAAACTCCATGGGGAACTGCAGGTGAACCTGGCACACGGGAGTCGGCGGTCAGGGGCAGCGCACGGCCACCCGCCCGCCCCCTCGGCCGCCTGCCAACCTGGTGGACGCAGTCCAGGAACTGCAGGAAGACGGGCGTGAAGCCGCTGCTCTGCCCGGCCAGGGTGTGGGCCCCTCGGTGGCTGAAGCGATGACCAAACGACAGCCACTCCTTCTCCACCAGCAGGCGGAAGCCCTCCAGCGTGCGGTAGAAGGGGTCTGACAGCAGCTGCACCAAGGACACCACCTGGCACAGAACAGGCGCCAGCTGCCAGCGGGCCGGAGGGGCGGCCTGGGAGCCCTGGTCCCCGCCCCGGGCAGCCACACACCTGCGTGGTGATGTCCCAGCCGTCCTCCAGGCTCACCAGCACAGAGGAGCCAGAGTCCAGCAGCTCCACCACCAGCACCGACACCTGCAGCAGCTTGTGGATCTGCAGGACAGGCAACTCTGACCCTGGCACCAGGCCCGGAGACCACGCGTCCGCAGCGCCCCGTGAGGCTGCGCGGCGGGGCCGCTGTGCTCCTGCTGACCGTCAGCTTCAGCTCCCCCTCCCTCGGGGTGCCAGGGCCCCCCTCCTCAGCCCTCCGGCACGCACTCACCCGGGCACCTGGGCCCAGGAGGCCACCCCCGACCCGCATCCCAGCCCTGGCCACTCTCACTGCCGACCTGTCCCCGGGGGGAAGTGGCCTGTGCTGCCCCAGCACCAGGCAGGCAGAGGGGCGGGGCAGGGCAGGACCTGGGTCAGCCACTCCGAGTCCTCCAGAGAGCGCAGGAAGGAGGCGGGGCCGGGCTCAGCAGCAGGGCAGCCGGGCACACAGGCTTTCAGCAGCTTCTTGAAACTGGCCTTCACCTGCCTGACCTCGAAGACCTCGATGGGCACCAGCTCCCACTGCTGCAGGGGGTCGGGCCGCACACCCTGGAGGGAGCCCAGGCACGGTTGAGACGTGTTCAGTCTCACGCCCCACCTCCCGCCCCCCAGTGCCGGCCCCCACCCCCATCACCTTGAGCTGGGCTTTGTCCCCAATGATGTAGAGGGCTGCACGCTGGGGCCGCAGAAAGCCTGGCTCAGGAGGGGCCCCATTGGCCTGGGGGGGCCCCAGCGCATCTCTGCCGGCGAGCCGGGAGCCCACGTCGGTGCCGAGCCCACTGCTGCGCCCGCTGGCCCGGACGCTGCCCCACTTACCTGCGGAGGAAAGACCAGCTGAGCCCCCCAGCCCTTGGGGGGCATCACTTACCTGGGGCCGGCAGGGCCTGGCTTCCAGGGAGGGGGCAGCAGGGAGGGAGGGGCTGGCGCACAAGGAAGCCCAGAGACACATGGGAGTGGCCTGTGTTAGTGTGTGCAGCAGGACCCAGTGAGAGGCAGGTTAGGAACCCGCGCCGAGGGAGGGGGCCGTTAGTGTTCCGTGTGGAGGTTAGTGCCCAGGGCACCTCGGTACAGGCTGAGGGAGGGCCGGCCTGTGCGGGCCAGGTACGGTACCTCGGGGCGCGGTCCGTCTGGAGGCCGAGGCCGCCATGGGGTTGGACAGCGTGGTGACCCTGGCTCTGGGGCTGGGCACTGGGGGTACAGCAGAGAGAAGGCTCAGGCCTGGCCCCAGGCCGGGGGTGTGCACAGCTTGGCAGGGGAGGGGGACGAACAGGCCAGATTCCCAAAGGCCGCGCCAGAGGCAGCAGGGCTCATGACAAGTCCCTAGTCTCAGAGGAACACCCAGAGCTGCGTCTGGGGCCAGACAAGAGTCCCATATGGCGAGGAGGGGCAGGGTCTCTGGGCTGTCCCCAGACGCGTCCTCTCCCCACTCAGGTCACTCGGGGCAACCTGGTCCTCAGCACCTCCTGCACACGCCGCCCCCCACCAAGACCCCCGCTCCCAGACTCCTGCACACG